ATATTCTGCTCAATATTCATTAAACTTTAGGAATGTAACAAGATCTGCTAATTAATTCAGGATCTCTACCATGGTTATTTCGGCCCTGGACCAAAACAAACTTGCAGGTCATCATGGCTAGCTTAACAGTAGTAACATATACTCAGCCCTGCAGGGAAGGAAGAATTTCAATCTGCCTCATGCAACAACAATATAAAGAGACATTAGACAACCAAATACAATGACAAGAAGAAGACCCTTCACTGTAGGGTGTTAGAGGTAAAACCGTAATCTTTGTGAGCCCTGTTGACCAAGCTACTATGGTCAGGTTTAGTAATACTGATTGTGTGTCATCTTGCGCCAAAGGTATTGTTGCTCTTGCTGTCGGTCACTGACTTGTCAAGTGCTGATGATATGATATTATTACATCTTGAATGTTGCTGAACACTGTTTTGTTTGCTTGTTGTTTAACGCTGAACTCAGCAATATTCCAGGTATATGGCGAAGGTCAGTAAATTATCGTGGCTTGAATCTCTGGACCAGACAATCCAGTGATCTACAGCAAGCATCGATCTAGGCAATCAGGTTACGATGACTTCACATGTGTCAACCAAGTCAGCTAGTCTGACCACTGATCCTGTTAGTCGCCTCTTAACGACAAGCCTGGGTTGCTGGAGACCATTTCTAACCCGTATCTTCACGTCAAAAGAGATTGATAATAGGAACTATTACCAATGGGAAGGAGTATTAACAATCATCGACATGAAAATTGTGTCATCAATAAAATCTCACGTAAAATATTATTGTTAAATAATATATTAATTTACACACACTTCCAGTACAACAGCATAAGGTGCCCCCACCCCCACCACCCACCCAGCAAAAGGCGTCCCACACACCCAGTATAAGGTACCCAACAAACCCAGCACAAGGTGCCCCATACAACAAGCATTAACTAACCCACACACCCAACATAAGGTGCCACACACACCCAGTATAAAATACCCAACAAACCCAGCACAAGGTGCCCCATACAACAAGCATTAACTAACCCACACACCCAACATAAGGTGCCCCACACACCCAGTATAAGGTGCCCAACAAACCCAGCACAAGGTGCCCCATACACCAAGCATTAACTAATCCACACACCCAACATAAGGTGCCCAACAAACCCAGCACAAGGTGCCCCATACACCAAGCATTAACTAACCCACACATCCAACATCAGGTGCCCCACACAGCCAGCACAAGGTGCCCCATACACCAAGCATTAACTAACCCACACATCCAGTACAAGGTGCCCCAAACATGCAGCATATGGTGCCCAATACGACCAGCACAAGGTGCCCTACAGGAGGCCAAATAGGAGGCTTCTGCAGAGCTACTGGTTAAAGCTTGCACTTGTTGCCAATGATATTCCTACTGAAATACTGACACCATCTTAAGCCATTCACCAATAACCCTACCTCAGCCAATCCGTTACTCCAATGTGAATATCTCTCGTTGTCGAGATCTGCATCATCATGATGCTCAGGAATGATAGGGTGTGTAACATATCCCTAACAACATAAAGATGCAGGTTTATTGTTTAACAGTGAGAAGTTCCCAATTAACTTTTTGGAGATGAGAAATCAGAAATGCACTGTTCTTGATATCAATCACAGACATGATAATTCACAGGCTGACACCATACAGCTAGACTACTGCAGAGTGGTGTGGTAAACCAAGGTGTATCAGGACATGTATGTCTGTCACACTCCCCACAGAATCACCATAAAGTAACTGCACTGCTACTCATGCTGAGTTTGACACTAATCCTGGTGATGCGCAGTCATTTGATGGCGGGGAACAACAGACTCGGAAATCACCTGATACAGGCAATAAAACACAGACAGCTTAATGTGGCGTAACAGTGACTCATTAGACTCAAACTGAAAAAAAGAACTGCTTCTCGTGTCAATGTAAATCCTGCACATTCATCTCTTCATTGCTAATAATATAGTATTTTTTCCAATTTCCCACCTTTCATGACGCTTACCTTGTTATCCATAAAATGACATGCTTGACAACTAATATTGCATTTATGGAACCAAGGTCTGTGTGCTTAGACGTCTTTAGTATTCTTTGAAAACTTTTGTTTTCAATGAGAAACATGGGGGCGGTGGGGTAGCGTAGTGGTTAAAGCGTTCGCTCATCATGCCGAAGACGCGGGTTTGATTCCCCACATGGGTACAATGTGTGAAGCCCATTTCTGGTGTCCCCCGCTATGATATTGCTGGAATATTGCTAAAAGCAGCATAAAACCCAACTCACTCAATCAATCAAAAATACAAAATCGCCAAAATTCCCTCCTAACTTCTTAAAAAAATGAAAGAATAACTAATCAATTTCAAGTAGCCTAATGAACATTTCTTTATGAGGCAGGCCCAAAATTTACTTTAATATTTATTAGCTTACAAATTTATATAAGTAAACTTAATTCCAGTGTACCACTTGACATTTCTTGGCTCTGTAGCTCCAGTTAGGCAGATACACTCTGGTACGTTTCCCAGCAAAACTAGAAATGGCACGGTGGTTGCCATTTGGTCCCAAAGAAATTGACATGAAAAAGGGTTATAGTAACAGTGCGTAAAATATCAAAGGAAGAAGCAATCTTAGGGCTGACCAGTCCAAAAGAAAAAAGAAATCCATTTTAACTAGCCTCACTTAAATCAGCCAATGTTATGTTCCTTGAACAATACATGTCTTCAAAATATATCTGCATTCATTTTACATAGGTGAGAATCTTTATTAAAAAAATATCAATATCATTATGTGGGATTAACTCAACATGTCAAATTCCAAGAGCTAAGCCAATTTTTGAGCAATTTTTCATTTATTTGAATGGCAAACTTCACTCTATGTAGTGATTTACATATTTAATTTAATATTTCAATAGTGAAAATGGCGGAACAATGATCAATTAAGAATTTCTTTTGCAAAGCTGAGTTGTCTTGAGTGTTGTCTACCTTATTAGATATGACATGGGGTGTATCAATCTGCCAGCAAATCAACATATTCAACAGTCATTTGTATAAATGCTCGGATATTTAAGCAACTAAGGTTGCTGGATAAATCCCGACCTAAAATATGGATTATTAGACATTATCTTTCCATCAGTAAAATCAATGGATAAACTATCAAAATAAACTATGAACATATACATACTACGATATACTCAAGAGTGTGCTGGCAGACTGCCCAAGAAAATAACCCCTTCAAGAAACATGAATTCATGTTGATCTTGGTATAAGGGAGGTAATCCCAGAAAAGCCTGTAACAACTTTCCCAAGCAATGCAGCTAGAGTTATGTCCCTTTCAACTTGTCATGTTTTCCAGAAACCCCAAAACATATATAAGAATTTTTGTTCAAATTAATATCATTGTAAATGGAGTTACTTTTTGCATGAGATATCTGGAAAATACCAAAATACTACAATCTACAGTAATTATAGCTAACTCTCAAAGAAATGGAACACTGTCGAGCACTATTCTGGGCCAGTAAATGAAGACTTTCATCATAGGCTGTTGGATCCTTGTGAAGTTTAAGTCCAGATCTATCTCAACAGGCCCTGTGAATAACAATCACCTAAACCACTATGTCCACAACATAACACCCGAATATGTGATACTTACATACTCCTAACAAAAGTTTACCAATACATTTTGTGAAGCCCTCTACATTGTTCGACTTTGACCAAACGTTTTTAGTGGTCCAAAGGACTAACAAATGCAAAAAATCTACTTGTCCTTTTGGAAAAATACTTCATTCCAAAATAACAAAAGACCACTGGAGCACCATTTATTGAATTTCTGCCCTTTAGAAAATATACTAGACTTAGGTCAGTAGACCAGTGTAAATGTCCAACAATGCACCCGATATATGCACACTCCAAATCACTCGAGGCTTGTCATTCTATTTGTATTGTACAACATATGAATATGTCGGTAGTAATTGTAAGACATGGAGCAGTGACTGCTCAGTATATGGGGTTTCCACCTGTGCAGGTAGTACACTATTCACAGAGGTGTACAGTCGAGCACTGTTGTCTCGATATTTATCGGACCAAGAAACATTATTGAGTTATCCGAACTGCACTTCATTGTGGACATATGTCAATGTACTTCATTCATGTAATTCACCAAAACAATAGATGACAGAAATCAAACTTAGCATTATATACATTTCATGCAGAACGTATAAATAGCATCTTAGTCAACAAATTAGAGATGTATAACCACATTTGTAAAGGAGAATGAGGGCAATTATTATTGATATACAACTTCTTTATTCTGTATAGGCGACATTTCAACATAGATTCTAATGTCGTTAACATAGAATCTACGTCGAAACGTCGCCTATACAGAATAAAGAAGTTGTATATCAATAAAAATTGTCCTCATTCTTCATATCCTCAACTTCTAGAATGCCAATCAAAGAACGCATTTGGTAAGCTACAAACATAATGCCAACAGTTCGGCAGTTCGGACCACAGAAACCATACATGTTTGCACGGTACACTGAAACTAGTAGAACTGATCTCAGCCAATCAGATTCTGACATTCATGTGGTTAGCGAGATCACGAAAATTGTTCATCTTGTTTGGTCAACAAAAGATTTAAAAGGTTCCCAGCAGTTTTAATTTCAAATTATTATCATCAACATCTTGAAACTTGTGGTGGTCTTGCCCATTCATTCCTCAAACATTCCAGCTCAATATAAATGTCAGTCCAACCTGATCCCCAAACAACAAAAATAGTGCAAGTCTGTTTCACAACAGGAAAAGAAAAAGGTGGAAGGATTCCGACCAAACAACTGACCTAAATTAGGCTAATACTTCATTTCCAAAATCGTAATCTTTTCATCTTTATGGCATTTCATTTCAAAAGATTGTAACAAACAGAAGTGAGCTGAAAATGAAAGGTAATTTGGCAAGTTCTGAAGTTGGAGCCACATGCACTCAAAGATAAACACTGACCTGCCAAGAGCTTGTGGTAAACTTGAGATGATGGGACCATAGCCTGCTGCGTTGTCATACAACTCAAACAATGGTGCTGCGACGAGCTTGTAGTTCCTAGGTACTGCGAATAAAGCTGACAACAAAACAACACATCAGATAACAGATACTGAACACGGAAGCCAATAGCTATTTAAGTGTCCGTAGCGGACATGAACAAAAATGTTTGTTGTTTGGTTGAAATTTGACCCTGCCATTAGCAATATTCCAGCTAAATCACAGTGTCACAAACTGTAGAGTCAAGACAGACGAACATGTGGTTGATAGCAAGAGCAACTATCCACACCATCAGTAGCGGCGAAAATATTTCTTTTAAAATGCACATGGAACCTGACACTTCATAATAGTCAACAGTCTGCCAGGGAAGTGTAATCTCCTGAAAATACCAACAGACTACTGCCTAACAGATGCAGATCAGCTAAGAACAGCTTCTTCATCAGTGGAGGAGTGAGTGTGTGAGTGTGTGAGTGAGTGAGCACAGTTTAACACTGCTGACAGCAACATAACAGCAATATTACAACATAATTAGAGTATCCTGCAATAGTCTATCAAATCCGTGTTACGTTGTATTAGCATGTGTGGCAATTTAAGATGACTAGAGTAATAGAGATCAGGGAAGTACTAAGGTGTGACCAGATACAAATGTGTAATGCATGACATCCGTGACATTTTGAGAATGTCCATTGTATAATAATGCAAGATAACATAAAGGTCAGTCTGTTACAGGAGAGCACTTCCTGCTGTGTTTAAGCCCTGTAGGTAGCCATACAACATAAGGGCTTCCTCCTGTGTTAAGCCCTGTAGGTAGCCATACAACACAAGGGTTTCCTGCTGTGTTTAGGCACTGTAGGTAGCCATACAACACAAGGGCTTCCTGCCGTGTTTAGGCACTGTAAGGAGCCATACAACACAAGAACTTCCTGCTGTGTTTAGGCCCTGTTGGTAGCTACACAAACCAAGAGCTTCCTGCTGTGTTTAAGCCCTGTAGGTAGCCATACAACACAAGAGCTTCCTGCCGTGTTTAGGCCCTGTAAGCCAATACACAACACAAGAGCTTCCTGCTCTGTTTAGGCCCTGTTGGTAGCCATACAACACAAGAGCTTCCTGCCGTGTTTAGACCCTGTAGGCCAATACACAACACAAGAGCTTCCTGCTGTGTTTAAGCCCTGTAGGTAGCCATACAACACAAGAACTTCCTGCTGTGTTTAGGCCCTGTTGGTAGCTACACAACACAAGAGCTTCCTGCTGTGTTTAAGCCCTGTTGGTAGCCATACAACACAAGGGCTTCCTGCTGTGTTTAAGCCCTGTAGGTAGCCATACAACACAAGAGGTTTCTGCTGTGTTTAAGCCCTGTAGGTAGCCATACAACACAAGGGCTTCCTGCTGTGTTTAAGCCCTGTAGGTAGCCATACAACACAAGAGGTTTCTGCTGTGTTTAAGCCCTGTAGGCCAACATATAACACAAGAACTTCCTGCTGTGTTTAGGCCCTGTTGGTAGCTACACAACACAAGAGCTTCCTGCTGTGTTTAAGCCCTGTTGGTAGCCATACAACACAAGGGCTTCCTGCTGTGTTTAAGCCCTGTAGGTAGCCATACAACACAAGAGGTTTCTGCTGTGTTTAAGCCCTGTAGGTAGCCATACAACACAAGGGCTTCCTGCTGTGTTTAAGCCCTGTAGGTAGCCATACAACACAAGAGGTTTCTGCTGTGTTTAAGCCCTGTAGGCCAACATATAACACAAGAGCTTCCTGCTGTGTTTAAGCCCTGTAGGTAGCCATACAACACAAGAGGTTTCTGCTGTGTTTAAGCCCTGTAGGCCAACATACAACACAAGGGCTTCCTGCTGTGTTTAAGCCCTGTAGGTAGCCATACAACACAAGAGGTTTCTGCTGTGTTTAAGCCCTGTAGGCCAACATATAACACAAGAGCTTCCTGCTGTGTTTAAGCCCTGTAGGTAGCCATACAACACAAGAGGTTTCTGCTGTGTTTAAGCCCTGTAGGCCAACATATAACACAAGAGCTTCCTGCTGTGTTTAAGCCCTGTAGGTAGCCATACAACACAAGAGCTTCCTGCTGTGTTTAAGCCCTGTAGGTAGCCATACAACACAAGAGGTTTCTGCTGTGTTTAAGCCCTGTAGGCCAACATATAACACAAGAGCTTCCTGCTGTGTTTAAGCCCTGTAGGTAGCCATACAACACAAGAGGTTTCTGCTGTGTTTAGGCCCTGTTGGTAGCCATACAACACAAGAGCTTCCTGCTGTGTTAAGCCATGTAGGCCAACATATAACACAAGAGCTTCCTGCTGTGTTTAAGCCCTGTAGGTAGCCATACAACACAAGAGCTTCCTGCTGTGTTAAGCCATGTAGGTAGCCATACAACACAAGAGCTTCTTGCTGTGTTTAAGCCCTGTAGGTAGCCATACAACACAAGAGCTTCCTGCTGTGTTAAGCCCTGTAGGCCAAAATACAACACAAGAACTTCCTGCTGTGTTAAGCCCTGTAGGCCAACATACAACACAAGCACTTCCTGCTGTGTTTAAGCCCTGTAGGCCAACATACAACACAAGAGCTTCCTGCTGTGTTTAAGCCATGTTGGCAGCCATGTAACACAAGAGCTTCCTGCTGTGTTTAAGCCATGTTGGCAGCCATGTAACACAAGAGCTTCCTGCTGTGTTTTAAGCCCCACAGACAACCATGCAAACATGCAAACTTGTGCGTGACTGCAGAAAATATAAATAAAATAAAACTAGCAAAATGAAAGTTAATGTAAACGGAACATTCAAGAACACTAAACAAAAACAGAACTGAAACTAATGAGGGGCCAGAAATGCGAAACGTGAAAAGATTTCTTTCATGCTATTCCTGTTTGGGGAAAGTTATATGTGTTGCACAGGCATATAGTTTTCAGAAAATAGTTCTACTTTATTATGTCATTTTCTGCTTAGCTCCAAATTACATCACATATTCCTGTTTTCTGTTCTGCATATTAATTCTCCTTTCAACTTTCTCTTTTTCCTTCTGTTTCCATGGTAGCAGGCCATGAATTAAAAAAAAAGCTGCTGTAAATCCACAATAGTGAGTGACCATATATTGCAGTTTTAACTTCTACTTTAGGTATTCATGGTAACATATCCATCAAGTTTCTTTTTTCCTTTTTTCAAGTAACCATAGTAATGTCTCTGTGTAATTATCACCTATCTTCATGTAGCCATGATAACTATCAAATATTACATGCTGCATTTTCAATCATCTTGACAGTATAATAAAAGGTTGTTATGTGTCCTCTGTCTGTCCAATTTTAATTTGACCTAACAAAATAGGAGTCTGTCAATAATACATTTTAAGGGGTTTTATCGGGTCTTGTTCTGTATTGTAAGATTTGGTTATTATTTCAATTATAGGACCTTCAATTTCTCATCAACAATGGATACAATGAACATCATTGTGTGCCCATGGGAATGCTGCATAATATTTTTTCTGCATCCATTCTATACAGAAAGTGCCTTCCTGTGCCACAAAAAGACCTGTCCATGATCATAGGCCACGAATCATAGGCCACGAATCACATGCTATGTTTTAAAGCATCTTGCCTACGAAGGAAAGGGTGCTGCAGTTGTGTATTTATCAGCTGGTACAGTACAACCAAAAATGTTTGAGAATTTCAAGATTGTAATTTTTATTTTATTTTTCACTCATCACTCACTTATTAAATGTGAATATTAGCAGAACATAACTCCAGATTCAAAGACAGGTGAACAGTTAGTATTTTGTCAAGTCACCATGGGCAGCAATCCAGGCTTCAATGCGGCGGGGCATACTACTGACTGACTGAGTTTAGTTTTACGCCGCTTTTAGCAATATTCCAGCAATATCACGGCGGGGGACACCAGAAATGGGCGGGGCATACTACTGATCAAAGAAGATAGAAAGTCGTGGTCCATGCTGTCCCAATATCAGACCATCTCTTCTTTCATTTCAGCAATATTTATCAGATATTTCTTATTGACACTTTCCTTCATAAGTCCCCAAACATTTTCTATTGGATTTAGGTCAGGGCTATAGCTTGGCCAATCTAATAATGTCATATTTGGTCCGAAACCAGGCCTGTGAATGCTTTGAACGATCTTATGGGTCATTGTCCTGCTGGAAAATCCAAACATTTCCATAGAACATGTGAGCAGATGGAAGTAAATGTCCCTCGAGAATATCTCACTGTTCATATTCCCTTCAATACACAGAGGAGCGATGCCCTAACACAGATATGCCACCCCACACGTTAAATTTCGGACTGTACTTTGGGCGCTGATACAAAGGTTTTTCAGTTTGTTTGGTCCAGAATTTCAGTGTATTAGGAAACAGCCACACAGAACTTTCATTTGAGAAAATCACATTGTCCCAGTTAAAATTTCTATGCTGTAAGCACCAGTTCAACCTTCACCCCTTTTGTTCAGGTAACATGATCGGTGATGGAATTTCTCGACTTTTCTGCCAACCCATTGCATGCAGCTCAGTTCTAATTGTCTCCTTACAGACAGCCACAGTTCCTCTATCAATCATATCCAGCCTTAAGTTTTCTAAACTCCTTCGTTTGTTTTAGAAACAAGAATACCAAGCTGCCTCCTGTCACCGACAGTCAACTTTCTGGGCCTACCTGCGCCTCCCTGGTGCTCAATGCCATATCCATTTGCAATATTTTTCAAAACACGATAAACAGTGGACAAAGGGATGCCTGTTCTACTTGAAATCACTTTAGCTGATCTGAGGTCCTTGTTATAATACTCTAAAATCAACTTCCTCTTCTCTAAATCATCCATACTGAAATCACTGAAAATGTCGTCTGCTAGCAAGTAAACAAAGGGGGATAACTCTTCACAAATTAATGAAAAAGGATTAATGGAGTTGTCTCTCTTGAATGAAACAAAGCACTTGATAGCTGGTCAAGGTTGTTTATACTAGAAATCCAATTAAACATATTCCTAAAATTCTCAATAATTTCTGGTCATACTATATATATCCCTCGTTAACTGCTAAGAACTACATGCTGAGTTTCAAGCACCTCACCAATAGAAGAAGAGGCTGCTGCCATGGTGAGGTCAGTGTCAGGTACCTGTGTAAGGAGGATGTGAAACCTAATGTACATACCTTGGGCCGGCAGTTGCACCAAGCATAAGCTTTTGTGTTCTTTGGGTCTGGTTATATGAGGTGGCACAAAGGGGTACTGCGAGACAAGAAAGCAAACTAAAGTCAAGCGCCATGTGAAAGAAGAAATGCCACCTGTCTTACCTTTCTCTGGTAATTGTACCAAGAATAACCATTTGCGTTCTTTTGGCTTAGTAACATGTGCGGGCACATACGGGTACTGTTAATGAACAAAGGGGTCAAGGCATTGGAAACAAGAAACAATCAATTACTTCTATTACTCAAAAATGCATCAGCATGGACAATTACTACTCTAACTGGTTCATGATATCCAACAATCATAAGTGTATGAAACAAGAACTGTAAGTCAGAATTCAGCTTCATAAATGCAGTGTGAAAAATGGCTGTTTTCTCCTTGTGTAATGCTCTGGCCTGTACATACGTTGATTACACAATGCCAATACATACTTGTTTTCTGAGATACTGGTACAGTGAAACCTGTCTAAACCGGTACCCCACGGGACCGAAATAAAATGCCGGTTTTTCCCCGCGCAATCACTACTTCCTGATTATCTGGCGTGCCATTATTTATCTCAATTTTGAGGTATTTTAAGGTACAATTCAATGTAATAAGCCTCTGTATTGGAAATATATCTGTGAAATGCATTCACCTCTACTAAGCCACAACATCATTTATAATTATAACTGTGACAAATCATTAAGGAGAGATGTTTAAGTCAGGATTTTTTACTGAAATTTGTGGATTTCAGGATAAGTATTGACCTCTGACTAGGTCTAGATAAATCCCTGACAACATATCTGTAAGAATATTCCACAAAATACCCCACATGAAACATTACACCTGTACAGTTACGTTGAAACTATTTCACACACTGCACAAATGACTCCTTTATCTGACTTAAGATTCTACACTCCAAAAATATTGCAAACATTCTAACATAAAAAGATTCTTCAGTTTCAAGGTAATAAACTCAGTAAAGTAATGTCTGATGTATTCAACAAGTTCAAAGAATAGACTTGAATGTTGTTATAAAATTTCTGTGATAAGAATCAGGTTGCCTTCACAACATTTACCCTGTTTACAGGACCCTACAATTTGAGCTACATGGTAATACTACACTTTTACATAGCTATACAACAAACACAGTTGTTTTGTTTAAAACTAACAATTACACAACTACTTCAGCTGATTATTCAACATGCTTCACCTGTGGGGGTTCGAAGTTTGGTCTCCACCAGTTGCCAATTGTGTCTTCAATCAACCAGTCCATAGGGGCTCCATCCTGCCTCCCAAGCGTCTGCAACAGACATGAAGGAGTGAGTGAGTGAGTGAGTTTAGTTTGACACCGCACTCAGCAATATTTCAGCTATATGGCGGCAGTCTGTAAATAATCGAGTCTGGACCAGACAATCCAGTGATCAACAGAATGAGCATCGATCTGCGCAGTCGGGAACCGATGACATGTGTCAACCAAGTCAACGAGCCTGACCACCCGATCCCGTTAGTCGCCTCTTACGACAAGCATAGTCACCTTTTGAAATTTAAAAATTAAGCCTTGGATCAGTCCCTTATCTTGTACCCCCATTGTGTATACTACTACTGAGGTGCATGCAAAATTTGATGAAAATCGGTCAAATAGTTTCTGAAATATGGACTTTTAAGTGAGCATGGGGTCGTTCGGGAAAAAGGCTCGGGTCGCCTCGGGGGTGGTTGCTCCTCCTAGCGCTGTGGGTGGACGAGTCTCGGCTTGGTGTACGGATGGCTGGCTGGCTGGCTACATTAAGCAGAAAAATAGGCATGCAAAACTGATAAAAAATCATGACGAGAAACTATCATCACACGGTGGGTGATGTGTAAGGGACTGTGTCGTGAGGTACGATCATCAACTCCTCTCTGACGAATGCTCGCGGCGGTCCGTCTTTCTAGTAGTACAAGTTCGGTTCCTCGTCTACGTTGTACGTTTTCAGGGACCATATCGGATCGGTGGCGAGTTTTCTGCTGTCTCCCTCGTATTCTCCCGGCTGGTACAAGTACCTAACGCTGACCCGGTCAGGTAATGTTTTCACTGTTTTATAGCAACGTGCCGCTGCCGACAACGATTCGACAGATTTCATTTTGATGGCTTTGACGGGTCTCTTGACCACGAGTCTGGTGACTTCGTTGTTGATGACATCCACCACTCGCGGTAAGCGTACGACCCATTCCATGTTTCTGTTTTTGGGATCCATTAAATCCTGCAAGTACTGATGAGGGAACAGACGTTTGGCTAAGGTGTGATTGAATCTCTCGACTATGGCTTGGCTACAGTGAGCTCCTGCCACACCTCGTTTCACCTGGACTTTGTGCTTGGCCAGCAGTTGTGACACGGGTCCCATGAACTCGCGTCTGGGATCGATTTGCAGGCAGGCCAAGCGACTGCGTTTGTATATGCGTTCTAAGCTTTGGCGACTTCGTTCGAATCTTTGGTCATCAACGGTTTGGCTTCCTTGTAGCGACTGGCTGACGTCAGCGACTGTCAGGGCCTACTTGTAGGTTTTACGCCTCACCCTGTCGTGAGGTAGAAATAGGAGGTCGGCTTGGTGAACGCGATTCGGCATTGAAATGTCAAATTTTCTTCTCGGGATGTACCGAGGCACCGGCAGGTAAACTTGCCAGATGGCTTGTTTTTAAGCCAAGCTTTGGCAACGTCTTCCGAGACTAGCGGCTTTGGCGTCCTCGCCTTTCCAGTACCCGTGTGGGCTGTAATAAATTTTCTCCATGATGTATGTATTACGTGCGTTTTAATTATTTAATATGTGCATGTGACCTACGCCGTAAGTGGTGACTCCATCGATGGCGATCCGTCGTTTCATGTCCATGGGTGACAGCGAGGTCTTGTTGATTCTCAGTCCGTCGCTTCTCAGCATGTTCATTTGGTGTTTGAACGTTTTATTCTTGAACAGGGCTTCCTTGAATCTGGCGTGCTTGATGTGTTTTTTCACCACATGTTTTTTCACGCCTTTCGTCTTTCAGATTTCGGCGGCGGCGGCTTTCTTGATGGAATACATCTTGGGTCTCAAGCCGACGTATTCCGCAAAGTGTGTGCCTCCGCATTCATCCTTTATCTTGCCGAGCACTCTTTTTTGACTTGGCTGTGCATAGGGTGATCTTTAGGGTAGTCGCTGGTGTCATATAGGTGCATGTGTTTCTTCATGTCCTCGTACACGTCCTTGGTGCGAATTTCCATTAGCAGGGAATCCGTGTCCGTGTACAGCACTTCGCACCTGTCGCCCTACTGCTTTTTCAGCTTGTTGTTAGTAGAAATCGTAAATCAAGTGTTTGGATAATTCGAGGATTCTCATCCTCACGTAAACAGGCCGGTTGAATTTGATGTGGCTTTTGTTCATGTGCAGCGCTGCCAAAGCGTCGTCGAATATCTCGCTTCGGTTGAACGCCGGGCTGGCAATAAGTTTCCTGAGTTTTTCTTCCTCGCTGGATCTGACTAATTTCACGTTAACGCGTTTTCTCAAATTCTCCATCGTCTTGCCGAACACCAAGTTGTTCATGAGCTTGTACAAGTTTTTTCGAGTCGCTCGTGGCTTGTTTTTGCAAGTCCATGTTCAACCGAATGTAAGGCTCCATCCATTGACTTTGAACGAACTGGAGCGCCCTGTGTATTTTCGTGAGTTTCATTCCAAGTGATAAGTACAGATGCAGATTACGATAGTGAACGATGTATTTCGTTTTGTTCATCAAGTTCAGCACAAGTTTTTCGACGTTGACCGTCGGCTTTTTGTTTCCCAGCAAGTTTTGTTGATATTCGGACATCCAATCCGGGTTCACCGTCAATCGTTCGGGTGCTAGGTAAGAAAGAGGATGTGTTTGATCGGTTTGCCGGGGGTCGTGACCGGGAACATTCTTGTTGTTGCCTTTCGCATATCGCTTGGATGCCATGGAAATCCCGCCTCGTAGGCCTTGCCTCCATGAACAGGTGCATGTCGTAATCCGTCAGTAGTTTCAGTTTCACACCGGTCTTTTTCAACAAGGCGTCCAAAGAGAGACCGGGGAAGGAGACGCCACGCTGGGCCCAGGCCGTACTGTTTCGAGCACGTTTTTCTGAATATCTCAAACACGTCGGCCAGCAGCAGCACGTCCGTTTTCAAGGACAGGTCATGGTAGTCGCCCAAATTCTTGCAGCCCAGTTTGTCCCATACACTAATCACGTGTGCGTGATGATCCTGAGAGATATTGGAATCGGTCAAGTTGCTGTAAAAGCGGTATATGGGAGGCAATCGCGTCATCGAACCTGGACCAGCCGTCCATGTATTCGTAGGGGTAGACTCCCTTCCTCAGCAGCAGAGGTCGAGTCTCGGCATTGGTGTATCGATTGGTGATGTTGAAGTCGTTCAGGTCGTTGGCGTTCACCAGACTGTCTAGAGACAGGAGGAACTGAACGCTGTCGATAAATCTCAGACTGTCTAAGGAGAAGGAGATGTATTTTTCCATGTTGTTGGGGATGCACGTTATTTTGCTGTCGACTTTCGAGATGCCCTGCATAATCAAGTGGGAATGGTACCCGTGAAGGTTGTGAAACACGACGGGGATTTTGATGGTGTTGGGATCGATTCTGAGCTTCAGGTTGCATGAGTTGTGAGTGGTGCTTCTGTACCTGCCGGTGACGTGACAGTGATCTCTCACGACATCCCCGTTCAGGGGTTCGATGCACACGTTGCAATTCTTAGCCTTCTTATGAGTGAGTTTATCTTTCGGATCTAGTTCGAATTCACTGCAAACGTGTTTGTACGCACGTCTACCGTATGGATTGTTTACGACATTCCACGCCTTGTCCTGCGGAATCGGGGTGCTGATTTCTTTCAGGATACGTCTGATCTGGTAGTACACGTGAAACCAGAACACAGACCGAAACCCGGTCGTCACGCACCACACGGCGAAATTGAATTGATTCTGCCAGAACTGCATTGGGTTGTGGAACCAAGCGTGTACCGTTTTCACATTTGTGATCGAAAACCCGTAATTTTTAAACACGATGATGAACCCAACTATGAAATGTAAACCATCCTTTGCATCGACCACAATACTCGGTTGCGTGAGATCGGTAGCACTTATATTATCACTCTTATAAAACACTCCCGGTTTGTACTTTTTCAATATGTATGTGACGCCCGGGAATCAATATGTATGTGGGAATCGCAGCGTCTGTTCAACTGCTGCACGCGTTCGATAACACGTCTGGTCAGCTCGAAAGTCGCGCTCTGCAAGTTATCACCTACTACCCGCGATGGACCAACATCAACGGCAAAAACAACAGGCTATTCGTCAATAACACCCGCAACCAAATAACGGACGGCTATTACAGCGTGCACTCGCTCAACGAAGAAATCTTCAAACCCGTGTGGGAGCCGAACTCAAAATGAACGAGTCGAACGGCACGGTCATGTTAGCCAGGGCACTTGGGGACACGCGGGGATTGATCTGCCCGGTGAGGAAAACACCTTGTACGCCATGAGCGCCCGAGACACACACACTGAGACTCACCCACAGCGCTCGCTCAATGCTACCGAGATGGCAGCAATCGACCCGGGGAACGGCACGGTCATGTTAGCCAACAACGAAAAAAACGACTTGAGACTCAGTCGGCCGTTGGCTAAAACACGAGAAAGACATACCACCGGAAACCACCGTAAAGGCACGAAATTACCTGATCTCATTCCGTATCGCAAAAGGTGCATTCATCTCGATCAGCTGAGCACGACCGACAACGTTCAAGGCGAACGACCTTCCACACTGCCGAGAGCCGTGCCAGTGAAAACGGAAAAGTACAACGACAGCAGAACGGAATCGTTTTCGTTGCGGCATTACAAGATATTAATCCGAGGCAACATCACGGAATTGAATATACCGGTTTTAGACGTTAAACACGATACCGTTAGTATAGGATATCTTAGCGCGACTCTGCACATACGACAATGACGGAGTCTCATGGTCCAGGAACACGCGTTATAAAATGCGCCAACATAGCGATCTCCGACCTCGGGGACACGCGCGGATTCGACGGCAAACTGTATGACTTGCAACTGAAAAACGCGTCGAACTGCCACCCGCTGGTGGTGGTGGTGGTGGCAACGACCTAGGCGATTTCGTTGATACCGAAGGAGCGGTCAACAACACTCGTACGACCTGATCCGCTACGACAAGGACGAATGGACGATAACCCCAGCGCTTCGCGGCAGGCTGTGCCACCTGGACGACGTCGAGACCACGGACGTCTCCAGAAACATGCAGTACACTCCCATCTTCAACGACGACAACAAATGGGTATTAGCGCATCCCAAATCGACTGGAATTTCAACATCACGCTCGTTTTCACGGACAACAACGCAAAACGCAGTGTGATCGTCAGCACGTCGAGGCAAAGAGTAGCCCACATGCTGTCGAGCAAACCCAGGACGCAAAACGTGGGATTGCTGATGGTGTCTGAATTCGACAGTGTGGTAGATGTCCTGGAAAATCTGCCAGCAAAATCCACGCTGTACATCAAAGTCTACCTCGGCGAACCGCCATCGGTGCATAAAGTCGTTGAAATCGTGAAAGAGATCAAACTCTGCTGGGCCAAACAACAACAATACCAAGTTTGCTCCGTTTACGTGCGGGTGAACGTTAACGCCTACACCAGTTTGCAGGGAGTCACCGTGACCGTGGAAGACACGTTATCGCTCACAAAAAATTTCATACTCAATATACATCTCATGGGTTTAAAGTGCACGTCTGAGGAATTATCCGATAACCAATTGAAAACCATTTCGTAATTTTGTATAAAACAACCGATGAACAACCATCATCCCAACGTAACACTAGCCGATCTCGGGGACACGCGGGGATTCAATCTGCCCGGCGAGGAAAACACCTTGTACTTCATGCACTTAAAAGACAACGTATACAAGCGGGTGTCACTAGCAGACTTCAAACAGCCTGACTGGTTGATCGACATGACCCTCACCTCACCCCACATATCTTTTAAAAACAATGGTTACGTCTCCAAAATTACAAACAACCACGCTCACTGACTCTAAAATCTCTGAGGAAGAGTTTTGTTTGGTGCTATCAGAAATTGCAAAAATATCATAGAATGAAACAAAAGATTCGGACCAAATCTCATAAAAACGCCATCATTTGCGAAGACGAGAAAAATAAATTCATAGAACAAGGGAAGAAACAGGCCCGACAAGCTTTCATTACAACCAAACAAATCATAGGAGATTCACAATAAACTGTTTCGCGGACATCAACATAACGTAGCCAGCCACATCAGCAAGCTGTAGGTCAATAGCCGAGCCGAGACACACACACTGCAACTCGCCCACAGCGCTCGCTCAATGCTACCGAGACGGCAGCGAGTCGACCCGGGGGAACTGCCGAGATATGCGGTATGATTTAGTGGAAATCAACATAACGTTGCCAGCCAGCCAGCCAGTTGTACAAGCCGAGCCGAGCCACACACACTGCAACTCGCCCACAGCGCTCACTCGGTGATACCCAGACGACGACCCCGGGAGGAAACTGCCGAGAGATGTGTTTCATTCACTTTCAGACATCTGCCTCGCTAGTCAGACGGCCGTGCATCATCATCACAGCCGAGAGCCACACACATTTATACTCGTCCACGCCACTCGCTCAAAGCAACCCCCGAGACGGTAGAGAGGTGATGACTTCCGAGACCTGCGTTTCATTCAGCTAAAAACACCTCTCGCCTCGATAATATATAGCTAGTACGGCAATATGTTGGATCGTTAGCCTTTCGCCAGACCGACCCCATGCTAAAAAAAAGTGATTATTGCCTAAACTATTTGACCGATTTTCGTGAAATTTTGCATGCATCTCGGCAGATGGTTATGCTATAGCAAAACAGCATTGGGAACACTCTCAATGACTTCATTAGATTAATTAAGACTTAATTACGACAAAAAGTTGGACATTTTTGCCTTTTCCCAACCGACCCCATGCTCACATAAAAGTCAATATTTCAGAAACTATTCGACCGATTTTCATCAAAGTTTGCATGCCCCTAAGTTGTATAAGGACCTGGTCCTGTACCACCATTGTGTATACTACTTCACGGGTCCCTAAGAACTGAGACAGCATATGGTAGTCCTCACCTCTGTCAGTAACCGCTTGAGACCATCGACCTGATCCTCCCCTGGGTTCAGTTCTCCTCCAGGTCTGTTAAAGCACGAAGATTAACACTTAAACAGGTCTTAAAAAGTACATACAAACCTGACAATATACAACCAACCCAATACATGATATGACAACCTTTGTGATGATTCATTTTTTAGTTGCCACCATTTTGTAGTCATGAATACAGGGGAGATAACAATGTAAAGAACATTCACTTCCACATTTTCATGGTTTAGTCAATCAACCTAAGGGAAACATCATGAGTTACCGTGGATAATGCATTGATTTTAGGTTAAATGATACCAAAAAAAATTAAACTTGTTATATTGTTTTTCCCAATGCAGTCAGACCTCGTTAATACGAACACTTTGGTTTTTTAAAAAAAACGTTCGGATAGTGAAACGTTCGTACTGCTGAAACCACAGTATATGCACCGAGTTACTTCCCCTTGATATCTTTCCTTACTATCGAGACTCTGAGGTCAGAGATGAAGCCTATATGTTTATGAAGGAAATTATAAGCTTGTAAAACGTTATTGCTACTACATCCCATACACCATTTAAAAGATCTAATCCTACTGTTGATAAATATGAAGTTTATTTTTATAATGTTATTAAAAAACTATGGCGATTTTTTTCCATTTGAGACAAGAAATCGCTACCTATACGTAAATTATGGATTTTATTCATTAGTTTATTCAATTTACATCGTTACTTTGCTCTTTGACAATGCTATTGTGGACCCGCTGCCGAAGTATGTGTCCGAGAATCGTTTTCAATAACATTGCGAAAAATAGTTTATAATTTTAATTCGGACCGAAGCATATATTTCTGGATTGAAGTCTTTCCCAAACAGCGTGTTCGTCGAAATTTCCCTATCACTTATGATAAAGGGATCAAAGGGATGAGTCGCTAAGTCGCTAAACAAACAACGTGTCACTTTGGGTGGACCAGTCAGCAGCGCGGTCAACTTCAATCGTTCGGATTAACGCAGCTGTTAACAACTTAATTAGTCCAATCCGTTCCGACTGACCAGCGTTCGGAGGCGGAAGCTGAATCATCGGACTAACGAGGTGTCAATTATATACAATATATAGGGAGATGATTTGGTGCCCGGTGAGTAGCGTTCGGAAGTCGGGGGATTCGGATTAACGAGGACCGGATTACCGCGGCCTGACTGTATACCAGAACAGTGAAAAACATTGCACTATTGTTCACAGATTGCAGATTACAAATCGTTGTGTCCATCATACACATGTTGTTAAGCAGATTCTGGATATTAGCTGCGTGATGTAAAACACACAGAATACAGATTCTCTCATGTTAGAGTGAAAGAAGATTAATTTGTAGTGACATGAATCAGTTATTATCATTATAACATTTTACAGTCAATTTCCCAAGAAACTACAAATCACAATATCAACAGCTTGTAAAGATCTGTATTAAATGAACATCACACGGTGTAAGAAAAGCTGACTTGGCAAGAAACCAACAGGTAACAATTTGTCTAAATGTAGCTGTTTGGAATCTTCTACTATCGAACTACACAAAAAAGCAATGCTTTTGTCTAATTTGTCTGACACTTACAGTTTGAAGAAAGTAGTTCCAAGCTGCAGGAGTAGAACATGAGGTAGGCCATGTTCGTGTACAATGAGCACCCCCTCCACAGAGCGACGCATGCCGATCTTTTCAAACTCCTCCCTCATCCGCTGGAAGCGCGCTGGCACCGAGCTGTCCTTCTCATACAGAGGCTCCTTCGTTCCAAATGTGTAATTGTTGAGTGGATACCTGAAACAGAAGTCCATTAAGTTGAACGAGACTATGACTGAAGACGTATAACAGACTTAAAAGACCAAATGACATGAAATAATACATGACATGGTGTATATTGTATCAGTAAAAAAAATGTCACCCCAATATGATGACAAATCATGTGCACAGTGGTCAAAACAGTTGTCTGCCTGCTGACCAGAGGCTAGTGACCTGGATTACAAACTATTCCATAAAGATGGACTGACTGAACAGAAGATTCACATCAAAACATATCTATTCCTATGAATCATGTACTAGTTGTGTGGATTTGTTCGCTATACAAATATCCTATAATAATAATCATCATCATCATCATCATCATCTGGTCATTAAGTTATCATTACATGTCATTTTGTTTTAATTCTATAATTTATCAGTGACCCACTCAAATACAAAGTAGTAAACTTGATTTTTTTATGTACACTGATTATTAGGGCTGTTACGATTCACGTGTAAACAATATCTCCTTATTATTGCTTATGATTTCAATTCATAACTGGCAATCATTAGAGGCAAACATCATGAATGTTTTTAAAGTGAAGTGTTTTAACTTGAGCTTTAGGCTATTTATCAAAGCAAGAAATGCAAAAGGGACTATATCCAAGTGAGGCAGGATAATAGTTAAGAGTCTCATATATGTGACAGTAACATGGTCACTGGTCATTGTGTCAAGATAAATAAACATTGTTGACACCATCAAAACTTGTGAAAAAATTATTTTGTTTTTGATTCTCTGAATATAATGAAAAATACATTAACTGCTGACATGTTATTGTATTCCTTATCCAATATTTGTATTCTTCACACAATATTTGGGATTGTATCATTATTCGACTCATAGCGGATTGGATGGAATTATGCCTGGCATACACGTACATATATGCATTATTAACCATGCATAAATGTTTAAGAACCACCACAAACTTCAGACAAACATCATCCCGCACCATGTTCACACCCAATCGAGTTGGTTCCATGGTGATTGAATTAATTAGGGTGAAGCTCTTCGGTTAGTAACGCAGAGCGTACCAGTCTCGCGTACAAGAGACAATAGGCCGTCTTGCGTACACATTATGTCCCTGACTGGACATAGGGTACCAAGCACCTTCGTCATTGTTTAGCATGATGTCAAAACACAAAACACAAAAGTTCTTTACACAAGAACAAGTAATCTTGGCTTGTGAACTTGGCAAATAATTCACACTCACACCATATACACAACAAACTAAAACTTCTGGCTCCATCTCACGTTTATCAGAAACCTTTTTATCATGATTACGTATAGTAGTCATAAAAAAACAAGAACATTTTGTGCTTATTGTAAAGAATTGAGTTACCCACCCATCCATGTCTTGATATTTGAATCAAACAATAAGAAGGCATAAAGAAAGAAGTGTGCAACATGATTCAAAACATCTGAAGTCTACACGATGAAGCCAATGAATTTTCAGTTACAGACACACACAGAGTTTTAGTTTGGTTTAACAGTGTTGAAAACTACTACGAACAGAATTTCCATTATAGCTGTTGAAAGAGTGTCAAGTACTAACCGACAAACCAAGACCTTTCATATAAATAATAGGAAATTTGGCAAGACATATTCTAATCAATATACCCATGTTGTCCTTCTCCGATTTTGCAAAAGACATACCGTAAATCAAGACATGACATCAATCAAAATGGTGTATTTTTTCTGTAATTCCTTTACATTTGAAGATATGGCTGGTACTATGTTAATAATGGTACAACATAGGTCAAAATACTGCCACACAAACAGAACAATATGGGAATCTAAGAACAAATTATTATCAGATTATATTAGATAGGGCCATCCATTTCTCTATTACGTTCAGTATAATCATGTTGCATGATTCCATCATTTCTTGTAATATGTGATACTACCAAAACATATCAAGATACAACGTGTATTTTTGTACTGGAATTGACCACCTCGGAAACTGTTAGACATCATCAATTCTTGCCATTTCAGGGGTTCAAAAATCCCCTCGCCCGACGCCCAGGACAAGTCAGTTTTCATTTCGGGCAATCAAATAATGGTATCTTACCTGTCCGTGGGCTACTAGATAATTTCCACTGATGGTTTTAAACTGCAAATAGACTAGGATTTAATTTCATATCAAAATGTAGCTATTAAATTTTGCAATGATCATAAAGTAGAGTTATCTTTCTTTGCTATTCATCACTTTTCAATAAATAGTCCAGTAAACATTAACACCAAATACCATGTTGATTTATTCTTTCATAATTACATCATCATGATTATGTCATAAAATCAGGGCAAGTGGAAAATTAGTCAGGACAAGTTACTTTCTTAAAGTCACTTGCCCTGTGGCAAGCGGCTTTTTAAACAAATTTTGAACCCCTGCATTTATGTCAACCAAATTTTAATACTGAATACATAACGTTACTGAATATATGACGTTACACATAAGCATACAAATCCATTTGGTATATATTTATGCAGAAGGGGTCATTGTCAGCACGGGTACTACAACTGTGTGCCCAAGGTACATTTCTGTATTCAGTAACGAATACCCTAGAGTGCTAGACAAAATAAGAATACAGAAACTTAACCCTACGACAAGTCCATTCCGTTTTCTTGTTCTGAACTGTCATAATGTGGTATTAGATGCATTTTATTGCGTTATGTAAGAAATGAGCATACACAGTAATCATGGTAATGATTATTTCACGATGCACGATAACACTCGCAATCACTTGAACGGGAACAACTTTTGGTTTGTGGAATATGGATTTGTCCTCCATTTATGGTACTGGGTATGTTTGTTTTTTCACTCTGTATACAAAAACGTACCTGGGGGTACATATCTCTAGTACCTGTGCCGACAACGACCCCTTCAGCTATACTTATGTCATCCTGATACATTGTATCAGGCGGTATTTTGTTCGCTTAAGATGGGGAAAAACATTACAGTGCACCATCACACAGGGCTTATATTGATGCATGATAAAGAGGGGAAATTTACGGTTTTGTATTGTATAACTATAACAACATTTCGGACAACATTTAACAGTATCTACTTTTTTAAAAATCTAAACTATAAGCATTTGATTTTGAATATATCCTCGAGTCATCTGTTTTCGTTCAACATCTGTTTTCGGTCGGCCGTTTGCATGTTCATTTCTTGCGGTTATTAGCGAGATATTACGTCACCAGACAGGTTACTTTTAGCAGGAGGTCAGCTGCTTCAGCTCTGACTAACAAAATGCTTCGTGTGAAATTTAGTAAGGTACATGATTGCAAACACATGTAAATGTTACGTTTTAGAACCGAGTTTACTAATGCATAAATTTTCATGTAATCAAAATGCTATATCTAAAATATCGTCAGCTCCACTTTTTCAGTATAGCGTTGTCTGCTTGTTTATGGCATGACGTATCATTATCACATGACATATCACGTGGCGTTGCCGTCGTAAAAAAATATATATGGAAACTTGATAGGGTCATCTCTTATTACGATTTTCCAAAATACTCATTTAATTTTCGAAACTGCAATGAATATTTCTGTGTCATGGGCCCAGTGTACTCATCCTGCATGCTGCCATTGGGTCCACCTCAAGCTGTGCACCCCCTTATGTGTAGTGAGATCTTCTGATGAGTTTTGGTGCCCTTGTCAGCTCGAACCGGAGGATTGAAACATGCCTGGACATGTGATGTAACTAGCAAAGTCTTATAATGATTAACTTTGACATGAAATTATTACGACCATAGTTTCTAATAATTATTACTGGAACTATTACAAATATTCTTTTTGGACTGGATGTTTATCAACTTTATATTATAAAAATATCAGCATAGCACGAATACTTAGTGTTCCCCCTAGGCACATTTAGGAGGGCGCTGCGCCCTGCCCTTTGATTTTTGCGCCCTGCCCTTTTTGTTTTGCGCCCTGCCCTTTTCGCCTCAATCCCAGTTTTTTTTCCCAGCTGTGCTTGATTTTACAACAATCCGTGTGTATTTTCCGGATTTTATTAAGGACGGAGTTCTCTCCCTTTCAAGGGGAGACACCATATTGTTTTGATAATGATTAGGAAATTGGCATTTAAACCGGCTAAGTCAAATGTGTTTAATTAAACTTTGCAAATCACAATGCCTACCAAGGAAAGAATCAAATGGAAAAGAGAAGAAGCGGTGAAGGTTGAAGCAAGGAAGTGTCGCCGACTAATAGATTTCTTCAGCTCCTAACAGGTATGTGCCTCTAAGTTCGTGATTTTTAGGCCGTTGATTTCCTTTCAATTTCACATGCCTTTCAAATAAGACCTTCATTTATTAAAGACAACGATGTGTGAACTACATGGGATGTATTTTGGTGCGCTTGGGGGACCGATATTCATGTGACTGTGCTGTTTAGGTGAAAATCTGAAACTTCGAAAATGTCCGCCATTTTGAATCCATCGGCAATTTGAAATTGATCTTGAATTATTTTGTTGTTTGTCCTGGGAAATGAAATAGTTAATACAGCTTGCAAAACAGCTTCACTTGGTAGCCTTGTTTTAGTGTTTACTGTCGATTTCATAAAATGTAAGTCTTGAAGGCGTAAAACTATTTTACGATTTCAAACAATGGGAAGCCACACCCTTGTCGAGGCTCTCGACAGTAGATACTTATGTTCAGGTGTACTATTGTGTGATATTTTTGTTTTAATAATTATGATTGCAAATTTAATATCTAAGAATATTTTGAATATGGTATATGAACTTTGTATTAATTTTTTTTCAGACCGGACGAGTCAGAGGTAGTTTCCTATGAAAATTCAAGGGCACACGAGACAGAGTCAGTTAATCCAACACAGAAGAAAGATGGTGGTCACAAGACTGCATTTGGCACAAAGTGGCAACAAAACCGTCCCTGGTCGAGGTACTCAGAAGATGACAAAAAGAAGGGAATGATGTTTTGTTCATTATGTTCTAAGTGGAACACCAAGGGCAGAAATGGACTTAATGTCGACCAAACACAGATTGAGTGGAGTCTAGTAAAGGAGCTTGACACCAGTTCACCCTCCACCATTTTGAAGACTCAAGCCTCAACTTGGAAACTTGAATCCAAACATTGTTCAATTACTGTCCATTCATGCAACTGTGATTATCCACTTCTGAAGTTGAGAGAGTGTTCTCAAAAGTGAAACTGATTGTGACAGATCATAGAAACAGACTCAGTGTTCAAAATTGCAACGGACTTCTCATGATTAGCCTGAATGCATCGTCAGTTTCAGACATTGACTTGAAAAAAGTTGGAAACAGATGCTTGGCAAGAAAGAAAAGAAGACTGTAAATTGTTGTTTGCGTGTTTTGTGAAATTGTAAACAAATGTGACAACAGGTTACTGTCTTGAAATGCTTTTTTTCCAAATTTTGATCTTAAAATACAAAATGAGAAGAGTAATAAATGAACTTTAGAAATAAAATTATAAGAGCATTTGACTTCGTATACATTTTGTTATTGTTATTTTTTCAATAATCCTCACCAAAGTGCCCTTTTAGATTATGAAGTGCCCTTTTTGTTTAATTTACCCTGCCCTTTCTGAATCCTAGGGGGAACACTAATACTGCTATTCGATTTCTGTTTTACGGAGAACCAATGAAGTGAACGAAAACAGATGACGTCACTTCCGCATTCACGATCTTTGCGTAGTGAACTATGAGGCCTGCTGTGCGGGTGAAACACGAGGTTAATCCGTCAGATATTTGAATATCATAAATAAATAACAAACAAACGAGGTAGGTTTGTTTATTATCGATTTATTCATGCACTTTATGTTACGTTGGTCGACAATCCTTACATGACCGAAAACCGAATACACAAGGATACATCAGATAGGAAATTTAACATTCTGCATTCCTCTGTAATGATATAGCCGAAAGTACATTCAGTGCCGTGTGAACGCAATTCTGGGAGTACTGCACTTTACCGGGCGCACTCTTTCAGACTAATTAGCGCTGCTGGGGTTCCCTAACCCTAACCCTTACCCCTAACCCTAAGGATCGTAAAGGGTGCCTAACCCTAAGGATCGTAAAGGGTGCCTAACCCCAAGGATAGTAAAGGGTGCCTAACCCCAAACCCTAACCCTAAGGATCGTAAAGGGAGCAGCGAGGGCTGCGCCCGGTAAAGTGCATTCTAGCCCTATAGATCTACCCTGATAGCAATGTTCGTTGGGCCAACATTGGCCAACGTAGGCCCAATGATGGCCAATGTTGGTCCAACATTGGCCCAACGGACATTGCTATCTGGGTAGGTGTCGTTCGCGCCGTTTAGTTTTCGGAGACCCTTCGAGTCATAGATTATGAACAAGGTGAAAGATGTAAATAGGGGCAAAAAAAAAACACTAAGAACACAGTACAACTGCACAAACATCCGTTGTGCCTATGTTCTGGTGGCCAGCGTTGATCGTATTTACAAACACTCGTGGCTTCTCTTTGTCGGTAGGTTGCCGGTTACATGGTCTTGTTTTCGTGTTACAAATAGGAGCGTTTTCACACATGCACGTGCATTGTCAGTGACACAACTTACAGATTAATTGTTCTTTCAAGCGTCATTGCTACTGATCCTGAATACTTTGCTCCGAAAGAAGCGCCAGTGCTGCCCGCAGGCTGTCCACTTTTCCTCGGCCAACCCGAAACTCTGCCATGTGTCGCCATTTTGTCTTCGATTGATAGTTTCGTATTCGGAAAATGTCTAACGTATGCTAAAACTGTTTCAGTATTTTTACATATTTGTATATAAAACTAATGCATTACATTTACTATTACAATTTATGAAAATGCAACGGAAAAAACGTAAATACTTTGAAATAAATGTTAACTTTGTAGGATCTGGTTTACAAAGGGAGGTAATCTCGGCAGGTGCCCGTGGGAAGTTCAAACTTCTGTGAAGTTATTTCACTGTTGTGTTCGATCAGGTGAGATTTTCTTCATTTTCCTTGCTATGGGTTTTAATTCTTATTGTTTGCGATAAAGATCGACGCCATTAGGGCACTAGGCTGGGATCAGGTGAAAATTGCCACAGTCTAGCCTTGCTCCAAGTCAAAATCCAAACTGACCAAAGTCTTAAATTTTGGATGTGCTGTATCCTTATAAAAGGCAAGTCTAGATAAGCGGGTCTAAGGACGCCCGTTTTCTATAGACACAACTTGTACGGAAGAGGCGACTAACGTGATCAGGCCACAAGTGCGCAGATCGATGCTCATGCTATTGATCACTGGATTGCCTTGTCCAGAATCGAGTCTAGATTAGTCGCCTCTTACGACAAGCATGGGTTACTGAAGGATCATTCTAACCCGGACCTTCACTGGTGATTATTTACAGACCACCGCAATATAGCTCCATGGAATATTGCTGAGTGTGATGTAACTGTAAAACTAAACTCACTCACTTTGGATACCTGCACAAAACACCCCATGCTAACATAATATTACAAAAAATCATCTTTGCTGTTTTTGTAAAACTTTAAATATTTCCTTCATACCATCTTTAACCAGTGTGGTCGCTAGTTACAACAATCACACTGGCTGTATTTGATAATGTGTAGTGTGCCTTGGTTAGTTGAAAGATTTTATGATGTATGATGTGTTGACTGATCATACTGTTGGACCAGCCACATCAACAGCAACTTGGATTGTGCAAGCTTGTGTCACATCTGTTCAAGGAAGCCTCCAAAGTTAATACTGCAAGTAAGACAACTCTTTGAGGGTAAGTTGTAAGATGTATTTTTACTTGTGGCCATTTTCTATAGCATGAAGTTAAGCTTCCACTAGTTTCTTCAGAAGTGTTGTGATTTTTGTACAGTATTGCTAACTTCTATTTATTATGTTTATAGACCACATGGAAGGAGGAGAATCAGTTAATGTTGGAACAGATGAGCGATGGACGTGTATATGTATGGATGGGACAAAGATCGAGATCAGTCTGGAACAATTTGTGCAACATTCAGGCTACTTTGTAGCGATGATAAGAAGTGATGTACAAGAACACTTGACAAAAGAAATTAACCTAGAATTGCTTTCAGTGCAAACATTGTCTCAGATCCAGAAGCTGTTAGACATATTGTCATGTCAACAGTTTGAAATGGAGGCAGAACTGCAGGTGTTTGAAATATTCTCACACCTGACTGACCTGTCAGAAATGGACATGTTGTTGACAGCTATTGACTACCTGGACATGCACAAGCTGAGGAAGCTGTGCGACAAGTTCTTTTGTTCACTACACGAGTCCAGTATGGACAATCTGTCCTATCTCCTACATCTATGCACTAACTTCACTCTTAAACAGTTAGAGAAGAAAATCCTTTCGTATGTGCTTGAAAATGTTTGTAGTATGCTTAATTCAGAAACATTCAACATGTTCACGTTGTTGCCATTTCCTCTCCTGAAACGCATTTTAGAAAGCAACAAGGCTAATGTTTCTTCAGAGTGGGACTTAGTAAGGGTTTTGGATGAATGGGCTACGAGTCATTGTAAAAATGACTCAGATGAAAAAAATATAATAGAATTGGGGAAATGCATCCGGATTTTATCTTTAACAGAGAGTGAAAATTATGAGAAGAAGCTCACAGAAATAAGAAATACATGCTTAAGAAATCAAATTAAAACAGCTATATGTGAAATGGAAGATGATGAAGAGAAGTATCTTATAAATCACCCATTGCACTGCCAGAAGAGGAGAGGTCAAAGTATACTCCTGGCCATGAGAGTCCCTTTTGGTAATAAACTGGACAGAGCATGTTCATTTTCTAAAGACTTCAGTGTTGAGAATAACGAGGATATTGTTTTCAATGAGAGTCAGCAGTTGTCAAGGTCCATCCCGTGTGAAGCTCTGCGAGAGTTTTGTGTGTGTACACTTGGACAGTACGTGTACATAGCTGGTGGACAAAGAAAATATTCCCTGGCTGGTCAGTTTGCAGTCAGTGATGTGTACCGACTGGACTTGGATAACCTGCAGTGGACGACGGTAACTTCCACTTGTATATCTATGTGGGTACAAGGGACTTGTGGGTTGGAATGCATGGGGGATTCAGCTGCAGATAAGGTCCACAGGAGTTCACACAATCAGTCATGTAAAACATCACCTGCCAGTTGTCATATCAGTTGTCTACTCTGACCAGTTTGGGGTAGTAGTATATATACTGGGGGTACATGGAACCTCATCTTTACCAGAATCACTTTGATACCCTCCCATGTACAAACAATGTGTCTCATGAAATGATTGAAATATAGAGACATTATCATGATAAAACTCACTAACTGTTTGACTTTATCAAGTAAATGCTTGTAAATAATGAGCTGACTCTGTGTTCAGTATTTAACATGTTCAGTGACCTCAGTAAATGTGGTAACATGGAACAAAAATACTAAAACCGATTTGTTTTTCACACTCAGGTGAAGCCGATGTCAGTAGAGAGGTGTTTATTTCACATGGAAACTATCTCGAAGCAGCTGTATGCAGTTGGGGGCATCAACATTGACGGTGAACTGTCCTCCGTGGAGAAATACGACCCTGTGACCGATCTGTGGACCCCTGTACAGAGTCTAGATTATAAGATCCATGAACATGCAGGTACAGTGAAGGACGTCTCTCTCCAAACATACTCACAGGTCTACTGTGACCTCATGAAGTTACTTACAGGACACTAGCAATTAACTAAAATGATTTGTATATTTTCAAAAAGATGAGATTTGAGAGGCTGAAGACATTCTATTGTTATGTATGGATTTAGTAATGGTTCAGTCATCTGTGTACACTACCAGTCATCAGATGTGATTTATCATGTTTATAGGAAGCACACAGTTTTGTAGGGCTTTTTTTGTAGTGAATTTCATCAAGTCTTTTTAAACTATAGTACAACCCATTGGGGTGTACTGAAATATATCTCTCTCTGTAACCTGTACAGACAACAATCCCATGGGCAACATCAATATGTCATTCAACATTGTTATAAAAGTGAGTGAGTGAGTTTAGTTTTACGCTGCACTCAGCAATATTCCAGCTATATGGCAGCATTCTGTAAATAATCGAGCCTGGACCAGACAATCCAGTGATCAACAGCATGATCATCGATCTATGTAATTGGGATACGATGACATGTGTCAACCAAGTCAGCAAGTCTGACCACCCAATCCCGTTTGTCACCCCAGTAAGCATGGGTTACTGAAGATCAATTCTAACTCGGATCTTCATGGGTCTGTAACAAAAGAATAGTGTATGGAGCCCAGTGATAATGACCATTGCATACCTGGAACATTTATTGAATTGTTGTGAAACCTCTGATCATGTTCCAGGTTGTGGCCATGGCAAGGTGATGTACATCTGTGGCGGCCATGATGGAACCAGTCACGTGGACACACTGTGTCGGTATGATGGATCAAGTGATACATGGTCTCGGTGTGCACCTATGCTGACAACCAGATCATGCCACTCGGTGATCCGTCTCAATGATAGACTGTACGTGATTGGAGGCAGTAAGATAAAGAGGTTCAAGGTCTATGGAATGCAGGTAGGCTGGATAAGAACATGTTTGTTTTTTAGTGTCCCACACTGAATCCAATATGTATTGTTTAAGCGAAGATTTTAGTTGTGTTAAATCATGATATTGTGTGAACACGGCATGATGTACCCTGATTTTGTCGAATAGATGTGACAGTAAGCCATGGTTAGACCTACATCAGCCACTCAGAAGATCAGTGTTGCATTGCCAAGCATGGGGATTCTGGTCTATAATAGGTCCCCCTCATCCTATGCTGTTGTAAAAGGCAATCTTTGCAGGTTGTCAGAGCAATAGATTAGGGGTGTCACGATACGCGAATGTATCGATGCATCGATACACTTTTACTGACGATATGATACGCGATACATGCTGGCGTGTATCGATTCCTATTTTAAAACTTTATCGATTCAAATTTTTATGCTATATCCATCTCCTTCAAAGTCTTGATAGTAAAATTATAGGAGACCGCTCCGATAAATAGATGTAGCTAGCTTTACTTAAAAAATAGTTTGGAAACTAACAGCTTTTGTGATTGGCTAGACTATTTTGATGGACCAATCAGCGTGCGCGTACGTTGCCAGTAAGGTAATGCTATGAAAAGGCGCGAAAATTATGTATCGCGATACGTATCGTATCGTGACCTTAAAATCGTGATACGTATCATATCGTGAGATTGGTGTATCGTGACACCCCTACAATAGATGTAATGTCAAGGTGTTGTGATTGTCACACATTATGTCTGTCCCAAACTATTTGTTACATCATCATGTAGCACACACACTTTTTCACTCAGTTTAGATGCAATGATTCAAGTGTGGAGCTCAATTAAGACTACATCCAGAACCCAGGTGATCCTGTATGATGGTATTGAGGATTTTGCTTATGCTGGAACTTGCTGTGTTTTACAACAAAGTTGGGAGATTTAAATTGTATGGTTACAAAGAAGAATGAATAATTTAAATGAACCAGCCATCATTCCAGCCTGGGTCGTGATTGCTAAGAGCTGGTGTTCAACAGTCATAATACTGAAATATCTACTGTGATCATTGTACATGTTAACAAATATGTTTCCTGATGTGGCCATTTCTAATCCTCGCAGACCATTGAGTGTTACAGCACCACAACAGACCAATGGTGTGAAGTCCGGGCTGAGTTTCCCAGTGTGTACACAGCATGTCTCAGTATATACTCCCGCCCCAAGTCCAGTCGACTCTTGGTGCTTGGGGGGTACAGCTACAAGCGCCACGCCTACACCCTCGAGATGCACAGCTTCTGTGAACGAACATGCTCATGGGTGAAGGTGCCCATCTCATTCAACAGCAGACGAAAAGATCAGAGACAGGCTATCATTCTGGAGGTCAAGGTCAACAAGCATTTGGCGGACCAGCTTGTGAAGAACAAAAGATCATGTACATTGAAATAAAATAAGAAAAATTAAGATTTTTGTATTAGTTTATTGAATACAATCATTCCAAATTTGTTGAAAATGAAGATAGCTTCCAAAATATAGTTCAGAATGTTCTTATCGCAAGGTTCGATGCATTTAGAATTTAATGTTTATTATGTGTTTGTATTGGATAACTTATCTCTTGGAGTTAAACATGAGGAACAGATTTGTGACTAGATGCAGTCTAATGTATTTTCAGGGAGGTACAACCAATACTTTGGGTTTTTCCTAAACTTGTGGTGGTGTGATGTGGTAAGATTCACTGTGTTGAGTTGCCTTCCTTGGATGTGCCAGAAACTTAAGATTGTGAGTTTGAACTGGAACCACGAACTGAAGATCGAGTCGACTGGACTGAGGATGAAATTAACTCAAGTACTCTTTGGTGAAGAATCAAGCTATTGCTGGACTTGGTAGATCATTGTTCCTAAGTGGCATAGACAAGGAGAAAGATTTCATGATTTCAGTGTAGTCAAACATGGCTGCTGTTAAGGGGGCTCAATCATGAGTTTGACTGGGACCAGTACAGCTCATAGAACTGATCTACGTGTCCTATAGATGGGGCTTGGCTTGGTTGTTTGGTTGTTTAACGCCACACTCAGCAACAATCCAGCTATATGGCGGCGGTCTGTAAACAATCAAGTTTGGACCAGACAATCCAGTAATCAACATCATGATCATCCATCTTCGCAATTGGGATTCATCATACGATGAAATGTGTCAACCAAGTCAGCATGCCTGACCACCTGATCCGGTTACTTGTCTCTTACAACAAGCATGGGTTGCTGAAGACCAATTCTATGTGTCAACATGACAGGTGTGAGTGCAGGGATGACATTCTGGCTGTGTAGGCATGACCTCATGCCCCCACAATCCAACTGGAATTGAACATAAATGCACAGCCTCATTGAAATGGTCCTCACACATTGTACCTATATGGGGACCCCACAAATCTGGGTCTTCAGCGACCAACAACCGCTTTAACCATTAATCTACCCCAATGCAATCTACCTCCGTGGGAGAAAGGTATTCAACAGGGTCTCTTTTTGCAATACTGGCATCCAGCATTCTGTGTCACCAGGAACTGATTGACTAAATGGCAAAGTAGATATGATTCACTGGTGCAAACTAAAATGCTGATAGGTAATTCTGGATACAATTTATTCTAGTGTTCTTCAAATAATTTTGTTAGAATTTTTAAAAACAGTCATGATTAAAAACAAGTGGGGAGCTGCTGCTTTGGTCCCTTTTCTATATTGTAGATCATGGTTCGATTCTCCTGGTCTTTGTTGCAACACTGGAGCAACTTGAACGTGTAACTGTAGCTAGAGAAGCGCCCATAAAATTCTATTGTCATCATCTTTCATGGTGTGACAATCATGTATGTTCGAGGCGAATTTAAAGCTGTAACATATTCACACTTCCATTCAGTCAATCTTATCAAATTTACTATATTTCATTTTTACGATCTGAGAAGGTACTTAACAAAGCACTTGCACAACAGTTTGTGAGATAGTGTGCATCAGGTATATGCCGTGTAAAGTAGGATAAGTGCCCGTGTCAGATTAACAGCTGACATCAATCACCCGACATACCTCCAGTTTTAGCCTCTGTGTCAGCAGCCTGATACAGTTGCTGTCCGTATGGCTCCTGGCTGACGTAATCTGGCATCTCGGTTTCCGATGACAGCGTTCCTTGGTTGTAATTGAACATGTGTTTTAAGTAACCTGGCAGCTGATCGTTAATATATCGGGGCACACGCTTTCCGTCGTACGAAAAAAACAGAGATAATCGTGCAAAGACATACAGATTATGGGTACAATATTACGTTTGTTTGTTGTTTAACGTCGATCTCAGCTACATGTATATAACGGCGGTTTGCAAATAATTTAGTATGGACGAGACAGTCTAGTGATCAAAATCAGGAGCATCGATCTACGCAACTGGGATACGAATGCATGTGTCAACCACCCGCGTTCCCTCTTACGACAAGCATGGATTGCTGAAGACCACGATTCCCCCCGATAAGTGTCCCTGTACATTGGCCGTCCTCGGTGGTTTCTTTAGTCTTACCGTCTGCGACCTGCTTGTCCGTCTGCGTTGAAACATTGTAGTTAAGATTCTGGAGACGGGGCCTCGTAGTGCCCCTCTCATTCCTCTATTAGCAACACACACTGGTTTCCTTACCTAGACATGGAAGAATGAGTGAATGACTTGGATTTAACACCGCTTTTAGCAATATTCCAGTAATATCACGACGGGGGACACCAGAAATCGGCTTCACACATTGTGTCCATGTGGGGAATCGAACCCGGGTCTTCAGCATGACGAACTAACGCTTTAACCACTGGGTTACCCCACCGCCCCTGACATGGATATCCACGATGACCACATGGGTACAAAGTGTGAAGCCCATTTCTGGTGACGCCCCCGTGATATTGTTGATGTTGCTGAACATGGCGTAAAACCATGACCTTGAACATGGCGTAATACCCATGACCTTGACATGACATAACCAACATGCTCACCACCAGGCTCTGCAAACTAACGAAAAATAAAAACACGAAAGTCGCAATACAAGAAAATAATTTAATGCAGATTTATGCATCTGCGCAGGATAAATACCCGTAATCCTGAAGTGAGATCGGTGCATTCAAACAATAACAACTATGTGCATTTTGACAGATAAATAAATAAATAATAACGTTATCAACACTCGTGAGGTGCCCTTCAGGATATATATACATTTGTATAACTCGTTAACAAGCAAATAACTGATTGGTAGACGCGGAAGATGATTGGACATGGATGAATATAGCATAAACTCAACATACAACTTTGCATAAAATTTACTGATTTCATTCACACAACGACCCTTGTTAAAGCTTTGATGAACTGTTTATTTGGGTCTTGACCAGACACCATTGAATAAATAAAGGCCCATGTAGTATCTGGACATGAACTGGCTGGAAAAGCATTCGTTTAATGCAAGATATCCAATAGCAGGTTAAAAGGACCAGGGGCCCCTTCCACACACCGATCGTAGCGCTACACTGTCATACGTCTATGTTAAAGTATGGGAGTTATGATCACCTTAGCGTTACGATCGCTTTGTGAAACGGGCTCCCTGGTTTTCAGAGTTTTACCATGCGATTGTTAACATCCAAAAGTATGTTTAATATATACAGTGGTATCATTGCATTTGCTAAGAACATGATATTACATAAATAATTTACATGATATTACATCAATTATAAGAGCCTTATACACACGGTATATCATGCATTTTTAAACGATGCTCTCCTCTGGTATGCATGATAGTTTGGTATACAGTTGATCATGCGTTCCTGAGATCAATGATACCCTGTAGATCCGCCCATAAAGCGTATATCATGTGTCATATAGAAGCATAATACTCTTTGTTGGTATAAACCCAGCCATATTTAGGGTATATTCAATTGCAGGTGCGCATTGTATGAATATTTTATAAATATTGTAAATATGTCAGGATTTGTATAATACGTGCATTAGTCTGAAATGGTGAGCCAAGGACTTTCGATGAAAACTGATGACAATGATATTGGCATGTTTACAGTGAACAGGATTACTGTTCACATAATACTTTCATAGTTCACACTCGGCGCATAAAATAACCAAAAAATTACTTTTCAGGTACGTAAGGTGACTTGAGCAACACATTCAGATTTATATACATCACTTTGCATAAACAAAACGGAGTCATAATCAACCTATTTGAAAGGCTGGCTGAATTTTGACAAGATGTACATTTAAGATCCTCTTAACATTAACCTTTGTGGCTGGTAACGAATAACCTATGAAGTGGAAGTCGGTTATTTTTAAAATGAAATATCAAAATTTAACAACACACGTCACCCCTTAAATACTCAATATTTCCTAATTAACCCAGTCTTCCTGTTACTTTGGGGCATTACATGTGTAGCTCTTCCCGTAGCTAAGGGACGTTAATCTTGTAGCTTTTCCTATTTCTACGTTTGTAGCTCTTCCTGTAGCTAAGGGACGTTACTCTTGTAGCTCTTCCTATTTCTACGTTTGTAGCTCTTCCTGTAGCTAAGGTACGTTAGTCTTGTAGCTCTTCCTGTTACTTAGGGCGTTACGTCTGTAGCTCTTGCTGTAGCTAAGGGACGTTATTCTTGAATCTCTTCCTGTAGCTAAGGGATGTTACTCTTGTAGCTCTTCCTGTAGCTAAGGGATGTTACGTTTGTAGCTCTTCCTGTTGCTACGGGACTTTACTCGTGAAGCCCTGTTACTTAGGGCCTTACGTTACGAGCTCTTCTTGTAGCTAAGGTAAGTAAGTCTTGTAGCTCTTCCTGTTACTTAGGGCGTTACGTCTGTAGCTCTTCCTGTAGCTAAGGGACGTTACTCGTGAATCTCTTCCTGTAGCTAAGGGATGTTACTCTTGTAGCTCTTCCTGTAGCTAAGGGATGTTACTCTTGTAGCTCTTCCTGTAGCTAAAGGATGTTACTCTTCTCACTCATCCTATTACTAAGGAGAATTACGTTTGTAGCTCTTCCTGTTGCTAAGCTACGTTACTCTTGTAGCTCACCCTATTACTAAGGGGAATTACGTCTGTAGCTCTTCCTGTTGCTAAGCTATGTTAGTCTTGTAGCTCACCCTATTACTAAGGAGAATTTCGTTTGTAGCCCTTCCTGTTGCTAAGCTACGTTACTCTTGTAAGTCATCCTATTACTAAGGAGAATTACGTTTGTAGCCCTTCCTGTTGCTAAGCTACGTTACTCTTGTAGCTCACCCTATTACTAAGGGGAATTACGTTTGTAGTTCTTCCTGTAACTCGGGGACATCACTCTTGAAGTTCTTCCTGTTAAAGCGGGCTGCTGGCACATTTCTTCCCGTTATTAAGGGGCGTTACTCTATTATATCTCTTCCTGTTACTAAGTGCATGACGTTACTCCGTGGTAGTTCATCTTCTTACTGAAGGACGTTACTCCTTAACTGGCACAACTTCAACAACTTGGCATCTTTGAGTTTTCTGGTAAAGTAGGTATCACAGCAGTAACGTTGAGGCTCGGCAGCAGTATTTGGCTGGGAGACAATGCGTGTAAACAAGGTGATTCATGTCATATAATACATATCCGATGAAGTTCTTTCATCTGACAGTGGCTGAAAAGCCGTATCACAGACTGACATCGTTCAGTGATCACTGTGAGTCCCGTCTTGTGTATCACAACCACACAATATCCTCATCATGGGATTGCGTCCTCCGATGGTCCCCGCCATTGGATCACAACCACAGAAGATCCTCATTACGCGATCTTAATCACTGAGAAACCTCATCGTGTGATCATAATGACAAGAGACCCTCCGTGTGACCATAATGACAGGAGACCCTCCGTGTCACCATAATGACTGGAGACGTTCCGTGTGACCATAATGACTGGAGACCCTCCGTGTGACCATAATGGCAGGAGACCCTCCGTGTCACCATAATGGCAGGAGACCCTCCGTGTGATCACGACAAGAGACCCTCCGTGTGACCATAATGACAGGAGACCATCCGTGTGATCACAACGACAGGAGACCCTCGTTGTCTTCGTCGGAAACAACACTCATCAGCTGGTAGTTCTTATTTCTCTGCCTTCGTCGTCGTCTCCATGTCACGACGCCAGCAACTATCCCGACTACCACCACCACTAGTACCACAACAATACATATAGAGGCCGTGAGGTAGTGGAAGGGTGTGGGGCAGTGACACGAAGAGTGGTCTCCCCTTCCTTCACAGCTCACGTTACTGACAAAAGGGCCATGGTTGTACTGCACCAGCCACATGGAGTCGATGACGTCCCCGTTGACGGACCGAACCTGGTCCCAGTACAGGTGTGTGGAGTTGTGGACAACCAGACGACCGTAGGTGTTGTCGCCAACTTTGTCGTGTCGGTAGGCTGACCAGGGTTCTGGAAACAAGGCGATGACCGTTTTAATCAGTAAAATAGATCAATAATGTAACGGGAAGCGAATTTGACAACTTCTAGTCTGAATACGATGGTTATTTGTCAGGGGGAAAGTACTACTGTATTGCTCGAATACATCAAGAATCGCCTCAAACCTCAACAAATATACAACCATACTCATCCCATTTTAGCTATCGAAAAATATCAACCTTGAAGGCCCCTTCAATATTTCTGGATATATTATAGAATGCTTTTCTTAAATAATAAATTATAATAGCCCCGAGAGCAGTTTTTAGTCTATGTTCCTAGACTATGTAGAGTCGAAAAAAAGGACGACTATTAGCTGCTGGCGCTGCAACAAGTCGTATACTGGATGGAAGGGAGTAATGACAACCCCATTTTACGGGTGCCGAAGGAATTGACATAAACAGTCATTACTCTTGTCACAAGTGTGCCTGCGGTACTGTTGACAACAACTGGTATGTAAGTGAGAGGATGAGGTGAGTAGTGTTCATATATTTCTGTAGTTACTTGTTGATTCTCAAATTAAGAGAACTCGGTGTGAAACTAACAAACAACAAGGAAATGTGATATGGTTAAAACCTAATTCTAAAATTACCTTCATTTACAAAAAGATGAAATAACTAATAAGGAATAACAATGGCAGTACATAGTTTCGTAAATATCGTACTTTTATCGGTGTATGATAAAACGTGGAGAAATTGGCTAATCTTCAACACATAAAACATTAAGGACAAAGAGCATTGTTTATTTTTCCAAACCGCTGTAGTATTTCCACTTGCACTTACGTGCCCTAATTTAAACCGAGGACCCGGAATAACCTCGAAATGGAATATTATCACACCATTCTGTCCCCAGATCTCTAAACTTGAAGGAAAGTGCCTCAGCACACATGGTAATGCGTGAGTGAGTGAGTGAGTATGGTTTTACGCCTCTTTTAGCAATATTCCAGCAATATCACGGCGGGGGACACCAGAAATGGGCTTCACACATTGTGCCCATGTGGGGAATCGAACCCGGGTGTTCGGCGTGACGAACGAACGCACATGGTAATGGCAGATGAGATCTGTCGGGTTAGCAATACTACACAACTCACTGAAACTGCCCGACATGCCGTCTCTCCCTTCTTTGTTTCCGGCCGCCCCCGAGATGACGTGGACAGAGTTGGTGAGGTTGTTGTAGTCCGTTCTGACAAGGTTGCCCTTGTAAAGAGGGAAGAGACGCTCGTAGGAGTGCTCGTGTGCTTCAATCACCAGGTCGACACCCTGGACGTGGAACAAATCCTCCAAGCTGGAAGAGAAGGAGGCGTTGGAAAACAGCATTTCCATGCAAGGTGTAAGTAAAGATGCAAATTGCAATATTTTATTTTTCAATAAATATGACAGTTCATGATGGACTCTCAAAATTGATATAGAGGTATTTAAAAAGAATTTTATTGTCAACACTTCACTAATATGTTGACCAAATCTACTGACCAAAGAAGTTGGTTGATACAGGGTTTTGCCTTGGCTTACAAAAGAGGGTTTCCACGGGACCCACATCCATAAAAGAGAGCCCTGTAAAGTACTGGAATGGTGTAGGTGTACGTTCAGATAAATACTGAATTGGATTGAATCAGTGGTCATGTAGACAGTGATCTTAACTGATGAGGTGAGGTGAAATTTGGTTTTACGTCGTGCTTGAGAATATTTCGCTCATATGACGACATGCGTGCGTGTGTATGTGTATGTGCGGCTGCTTGTACTAGCCCAGACTGAAGCTGGTTTTATAGTGCTAGCCCACTGAGATACCATGCCGCAGTGAAGCATGAATATCCCACTCAGACACATTACACTGACTCCGACCCGACCAGTCCTTGATGTACCCAATAATGCCGAGCGCCAGACAGGGACCAACAAGTACCATATTTTATCGTATTTTGGTATGACGCGGCCGGGGATCGAACCCGCGACCTTCCGCTCTCCGACCACTACACCACGGAGGTGGTCTTGACTGATGAGTGAAATAACAGACCCATATGACTTCTCTTCATGCACTGTACTTAGGTAAGCTCGTGGTTTATTCTTGTGCGTCGCGTAAAACCCTGTTTTGATATGTACGTATATGTATTCCCGTGTTCCAAATCTACGGACTTAAAAATTGAAATTGATAAACGCCACACTGTACGGCACTAGTGCTTTTCAAATATTATCTATACTGAGTAATGATGTTGCACGGATGCTATAAATCCGGACGCAGCAAGATTTGTCTATACCCCAGGCCTGGTAAAATCATACTCCGATGAAAGTTACGTATCCTGACGCAAAAATACAAGCAACGGCTTTGGATTTATATCTCCGCGCGCAGGAGTACACCGTCGCTGGGAGCGTGGCACTGGCCAGTGGAACAAACAACTGGCGATAGAACACAAGTTATTAGAGTGGAATAGCCGTCAGTTAACTGTGTAGCTAAACGTAAATAAAGAATTGAATTGATACCTTAGTCTGTCTCACACTCCCTGTACAGCATTGTCTTCCCTCCCTCCCAGCCCGTTCTGCGATGCTAATCCCATAAATAAAGCAAAACTAGATTTCCTTAAGTTCACGTTCTGAATCTCCCTGGGGCTCTGTTTCAGTCTAAATGGAATTATTTGTTTCGATCAAAAGTATACATATTCAGAGATTAATCGGTAGTCTACCTTATACCTATGAAAGGTCCTCATGAAACCGAACACGAGATCAATGGCCATAGAAAGTCCATGGCTGATAAATGTTTGATGCGGGACGATCGTATTGTTAAGATACTGGTTAACTTGTGTATCTGAGCAGTGACCCACAAAGGTATTCTGATCTCAGTCACGCTATCCGGTCTTTATGGACGACGGAACCCATGGAATAGATAAATTACCCTTTATTCTTTCCCTCTACATGCTATTCAGAAATGAGGTGTAAACTCAAAGAAAATGCAATTGTAACATGTCCCCATTAATCATATATTGATTTATTCAAATATTGATTTTGTTTTTCTTGAAATCTTTTAAGTGCATTACGTAATTCAAGAGTTATATAAATATTTTTTCATGCAGGGGTGGTGGGGTAGCCCAGTGGTTAAAGCGTTAGCTGGTCACGCCGAAGACCCGGGTTCGATTCCCCACATGGGTACAATGTGTTAAGCTCATTTCTGGTGTCCACCGCCGTGATACTGCTGGAATATTGCAAAAAGCGGCATAAAACCATAGTGACTGACTGACTCACACGCATATGATTGTTTGGGACACTTCTCCATTGCTGCTTTGAAAGTGAAGAAAATATGAGCAGTTATACCACACATATATGATGAAGCCGTACCTTCTTCGCACCCAGCCACTGAAAATTCTTCCTGTGCAGTCATCAATGTCGCTGTTGGAGCAGTACATTGGCCGATGACCCATAGCAACAATCCAGGGCTGGGACTGTCGGTTTTGATTGGCGTGAAGAAGATCCTTCAGTAACCAATCATATTGTTCACATACGTAATTCTGGTCATGCGTGAAATATACCTCCGTGGAATAACTGAAACGAAAGCAAAAATGTAAAGACTAAATCATTAAACTCCGAACTGTCGGTTACTGGTTGTGTAATTAAACTGACGGTATTAATGTTTTTTCAATTAGTTGTTTTCGTCAAATGATACTCAGTGTGTCTCGAAGTGCGCTCCCAAATGCAACGACAGGTGTAGTCAATATCCCTTTGATGTCCCATTAACAGCTCGTGATTGCTTCTCACGCCGAAGGCCCGGGTTCGATTCCCCACATGGGCACAATGTGTTAAGCCCATTTCTGGTGTCACCCGCCGTGATATTGCTGGAATATTGCTAAAAGCGGCGTAAAACTAAACTCAGTCAGTCAGTCGTGATTGCTTCTCCATATACAAAGGACAGTTGATATCCTTTCAATGATTCATGCGGCATTAACAACAAATAAATGAAGCATTAAGCCTCAAAGAAAGCCATCGGGCGAAAGGCTGGAAGCTCTGAAGTAACATGGGACCAAAATGGTACACAATGGAATTCCGTTTCTGCATACAACCACCAGTTCCTGCGTAGTAATGCAAACCCAAAAATAACACTATTGAAAGCCTCGTTCTGGGACCCGCTTTAACTGAGTGCTTGATGACAACCTATGCCATAGCACCGATATGTCAGCTAACACACAAAGCTTTCACAACGTTGCGGGAAGGTTGAAGGTTGTGTCATGGTAACGTCTTGACACAACGTTAGTAAACGTTAGTTTATAACGTTATTTCACAACATTACATGTATGCGTTGTCAAAACGTTGTGCATCGACTATTACACACTAACTTGGTGTCACGATAGAGTTTTCTGTAAAACATTTCACTTTGAGGTTCTTTCTTCACTATTCAGGTACAGCTTCAGAAAACACACGGCCAAAACTACATGCAAATTGACGTATAAACATGGAAGTGAATTTCTGCTTTGTTTTTTATGTACTGATCACTGCAGGGAAACTATTCAACTATTAACGTTAGATAGAACGTTAAAACAACGTAGATTACGTTAGCATCAAATAACTTAACCATGTGGCGACGTAAAAATGACGTATCACAACGTCAGGCCACAACGTTGTGACAACGTAAAAGGGAGTCCACAGAATAACGTTGTCACAACGAAACTTAACGTTGTGACAACGTGAAACTGTAAACTGGGATATGTATATAACGACCGCTTGTGTCGCTGTAAGGAGTTACCTGATGAAATGTACTGGGCCCACGTTGTAGCTGTACCACATGGAGTTGAGGGGGATAGGCCAGGCTGTTCCCGGGGTGCTGAACCTAGTCCGGTAGTGGAGGAACTCCTCGGCTCCTGCGATCTCTGTTGATTGAAGTCACATGTTTGTTTGGTGTAAAGTTAATAAGTCCCCTTTATTTATTTACACGATCTCGCCGTAAATAGCTGGATAATTGCTTGTTGTGGCATAATGCAATATTCATTCATTCTATTTACAAGCTCAGCTCAGTTTAGACATGTGATTTGTCTACACCATTAGATACATATAAACGTATATAAACAAAGAAGAGTGCCGTAACGCACTGACTTCCTGGAGTGAAAATTGCTGCTACGCTCCATATATAAGCAATGGATTTACTGCCAAATAGTAAAGTAAACTTGTGGATCACAAAAACATGGATATCAAACTTGAAATAAATACTGAGTGTAAATATAAATCAATATCAACAATTACAAATGTTGCCAAATATATCATCATCATCATCATCATCACAACCACGTTGATCGCCATTGTCACTCACCATGGTTGCCTGGTGATGTCATGTAGGGAATGTTGGCTGCAATGTTTTCGACGGCCCTCATAAACTGGTCTCCCACCTGAAACGACGTTCAAGTGTTTATCTCACGCATTTAGGTGATAATATTCATATAGCGGTAAATATTAAGTGAGTAAGAGTCGTTTTAGTCCTTTTTAGCAATATCACATCAATATCACGTCGGGGTACACACGTTGTACTCGTGTGGGGATTCGAACCCGGGGCTTCGGTGTGCCGCTTTAACCATTAGGATACCCAACCGCCTCAACTAAATATTGAAGACAGTCATGAATATGTGAACGTTATTTCATACTCGTTGAGCAAAGAAAATGTATATGTTTATCAACAATGGCATAGTTCAACGTGCCAACAAAATGCCAAAATATTCAGTTACCGTACGGCCCTTTACAGTAACATCTCTAACATCAAATACGGTATCGTGTAAACTTTTTTCGGACAACTAATCAGCGTCGAGACTCGCTCGCCATGGTGGAAAGTTGACGTCATAATGAGCGGTTACTGTTTGTCGCGGGTCATTTGACTCGTGACATTTTGTGGTCAGAACTTCCTGCAGATCGGTATCACAACGGCGTAAAAAAATTAATATCTGATCACAGTGAGTTGGCGCATGGTCGGCCGAATATTACATTGCGCACGGCGTCAAGAAAGTCATATCAGGTCATTGTCGGAGTGCGTGCCTTGACTGAACGTCATGCCAGGTCATTGTCGGAGTGCTTGCCTTGACTGAACGTCATGTCAGGTCATTGTCGGAGAGTGTGCCTTGACTGAACGTCATATCATGTCAATGTCGGAGAGGGTGCCTTGATTGAACGTCATATCAGATCATTGTCGGAGTGCGGCCTTGACTGAACGTCATATCATGTCATTGTCGGAGAGTGTGCCTTGACTGAACGTCACATGAGGTCCATGTCGGAGTGCTTGCCTTGCCTGAACGTCATGTCAGGTCATTGCCGGAGTGCGTGCCTTGACTGAACGTCATGCCAGGTCATTGTCGGAGTGCGTGCCTTGACTGAACGTCACATCAGGTCCATGTCGGAGTGCTTGCCTTGACTGAACGTCATATCAGGTCATTGTCGGAGAGTGTGCCTTGACTGAACGTCATGGCAGGTCATTGTCGGAGAGTGTGCCTTGACTGAACGTCATATCAGGTCATTGTCGGAGAGTGTGCCTTGACTGAACGTCATGGCAGGTCATGTTGAGTCATGACAGTACAACGTATCGGTTCATCGTGGGTGGATGGGTCATGACAGTACAACGTATCGGTTCATCGTGGGTGGATGGGTCATGACAGTACAACGTATCGGTTCATCGTAGGTGGATGGGTCATGACAGGACGACGTACCAGTTCGTTGTCGGAGAATTCATGTCACAACTGAACCATAAGTGACCTACCAGTCCTCCATTAGAATGCATGTCGTAGGCGAAGTCGCCAATATGCCAGATTGAGTCGTAGTCCCCGCTGTCCACCTCTTGTTGAATTCTAGAAAACGTGTCCTTGCCCTCAACGCCAAGGTCGCCGTACACCAGAAACGCCGCTCTCCGTGTCTATGACATTCAAAAATGAAACCATATTTGGATATGGTGATGAAATATATACATGTGCATGTATTTCCGGAAAATGCTTTAACCAAAGCAGACTCAATATAACTCTTTCTGGGGCCCGTTTCACAAAGCGATCGTAGCGCTACGACTGCCGTAAGTCTATGTTGAAGTATGGAAGTTAGCGCTACTATCGCTTTCTGAAAGGGGCCCAGAACTTGACGTCAACCGAGCTAACATAATGCATTCAACTGTTTATATTTAAATACGAAAGTAATTTTGGAAGTGTGAAAATACTATCAGAAAATATGAACACTTAGATCAGTGCTTTGCTACTAGAAGCCACCATTCGAATTTCAATGGTTTGGACAAAATCGATATTTACGCATGGGTTACTTGTTCAAGCGTTTTTGTACAGGAAAATAAAGAAATCACACAAAATTATAACACTCACAGTCGTCACATCCATCGTCGTGAAGCTGAAGATACGAGATGACGTCGTCGTCGCGCCGTATACACTGGTCACCTTGTAGAAATATTTCGTCTTGGCTTTCAATTTCTGGATAAACAGATCAATATTACAGGGTCAGGTTTAGTCTGTCTCACAGTCCCTGAACCACATTATTTTCCCTAATGCCTAGCCCTCTCTGCAGTGCTAAAGTCCTAAATAAAGCAAGTCTAGATTTCCTCAGGTTCCACTTCTAATTGGTAATGACCCCAGCACGTGTAGCCCCAATGCAGATGTTCTTAGTCTCTGAATCTCTGGTCTCCCTTGGGCTCCTTTTCAATTTACATGGGCTTGTTTGTTACTATCAAAATTATATATATTCAGAGACTAAGCATTAGTCTAGGTCAGTTTAAAAACGAGTATTCAAGAAAGGAAAACAGCGTCCATTCTGACGAATATCCAACACCATACGCCCCCACAGTTTCGTCCTGAGAAGGGGCGGCGGGGTAGCTCAGTGGTTAAAAAGTTCGCTCGTCACGCCGAAGGCCCGGGTACGATTCCCACCCATCATGGGTACAATGTGTGAAGCCCATCTCAGGTGTTCCCCACCTTGATATTGCTGGAATATTGCTAAAAGCGGTGAAAAACCCAACTCAGTCGCTCGCTCACTCACTCACTCACTCACTCACTCATCTCATTCATTCATTAATATTTAGAATATCACTTGACGAGGTTACAAAGGACGTGATATCGTGGTGAGGAGGGCATTTTCAACCTTTCACAAAGTCATACCTTTAACTGTGCTCTGTGCATAAACTGTCGGGCGTTCCAGCTCTCAAATGTTAGACGGGTCCTAGTGCCGTTCGCCTGTCCCTTCAGTTGAACCTGATCCTCGCCGTATTGGACAACGCCCTTGACGTCCTCCAACGTTGACCACAACACCACCATCTGGTAGGGGGGTGTCGCCATAGCTGATGTGCACTTGTTCTGGCGGTTCCAGACACGACACTGTAAGGAGTTCAATGATATTACTGATCCATGTGTGGAAAGATCTTCTTAACCTATATTTTTTTATCAATTGTGTGGATTTTTTTGTTGTTGTATTTTTTATGTGTTTGTGCGTGATAGCGAGCGAGCGAGCGTGTGTGTTTATTTTAATTCTAATGGAGATGGGGTGCGAAAGGGTATATGCCTTTTATCATATTGAATTAAAGAAATTATATCCTTGGGAAACAAGGATATCTTGAAATATACACTTTTGTGGGCCTCTCAGGATGGCATCATACAAACACTGTAATAATGTATCATTGTATCATTGTATCATTATAGTTTATTATATTTAAAAGGGAGACCAGTATCGAGTATATTAACAGTCCTGGCAAATATAATTCAAGACATTAAAATCCAACTTATTTCGTCTGATTACCCGAAAGAAACAATTGAGCGTTGCTCAAAGACTCGCAGACCTAACCAACTCGTGACTTATACTTCACCGTGATATTCCCTTCAGTACATTTTCCACCATTAAGGACTTTTGAAACGCCTTGTAATAGAGCATGATAACGCAAGCCTCGTTTTGGGGATTCAACAGCGCTTAGAATGAGAGTTTGATTGCTGTCTTTACTGGGTGAGACGGATAGCAACTTCAGTCCCGAAACTAACACAATGTCGGCATTGTGTGCATTAATCACACTGTCCAGGCAAAACATGAAGTCATCACAAAATCACGACTGTATCTAAACAAGGTTATTTTACTTTTCTCTTTCTTTTTTCTTGTTTTTTTTTCTTTTATATGTTCTTTTGTTTTTGTAATAAACTTAGTATTTTAGTCTTACCTGTGTATGAACTAGTCTTACTGCGTTGATATAATACATGGATATTGGTAAAAGTGGGGAAAGACCTAACTCACTCATTCAGTATTAATACGCACTTTGGATATCATAAACGAATTTCGGCAATCATCCGAAGTTCGTTGTAAACATGTTTTACGGTAACAGCATATCTTTGGTTTTGTTATTTTGTCCTGAAAAATGCACACACACAAATCCTCACCCCAGCACCGTCCAAGTTATGAACACCATTTCATATGAATCTGATAAAGATCTTTTTAGTTTCGTTATTGGTATTTCTTTTACACGTCATATTTGCAAATACCTATTACATTACTTTATAAGCTGATATCAAGTTGCTTTGAATGATTTGGATCAGTTTGTTCAAGTACACGGAACAACATGTTAAAATTATACTCTTAAAAAAAGTAACGGAATCTGAACTTCAATCTGGCTAGGAAGTGTAAGCGTTAAGAAACTTTTCAAAGACAGACATCTTATGAACGCACCACCATTGCTCTTTATCGCCACCCCTAAACACAACGTATGATTTTGACGCAGGTCGTTAAATCACTGTAGACCATTAATTTGGACAATCATCTTGTATTACAGAGTTGTTACTGTTTGTTTGTTGGAAGTGCAAGTGGTAAAGCACTCTCAAAACATTCATTATTGTCATATCAACATTGTCTGACTCAGATATATATCCCATTTTTTTTCAAAAATAAAGTTCCCAACTTTTTTAAGAGTACATATAACGTACTTAAAGGTACTTGTATATATAGCGTACTTAGGTAAAGGGGTCTCTGTGTGAGAAATTCACCTATTAATAATATAAACATCGACGAGTTAGCTAAACGACTTATAAGTAGGTCCTCTAGCAATATGCAGCGGTTGCTATGGACGCGTCTGCGCCAATGTTCACGCTTCTGCATGGTTACCAAGGTGAGTCATGCATTAGACAGTATTCCCCTCGCCGCCTTTATATACGAACAATAGGGTAGTCAGCATCTATAGAGGACTGTGTTTACCAGTTAGTGCTGAGAGACAGATTTACTAAATGAGTTAGTATTTGCACCAAAACCTGTCAATAAAAGGTGTTTTTGATCCATACAATTTCCCCCATAGTGTTGGTATTGACGAATGCTGTGGTGGGGGGTTGTGTTTTGTGTGATTGTTTGTATTGGTAGGGGTAATGAAATTATTATTGTATTATTATGTTGGAGTCAAGGGTTGGCGGTAGCCTTGAACGTCAGAACACGCGGATATTAAGTCCGTTATTGTCCACGTCAGCGTTCCTAACCTTGAACCTGTGCCAAGTCTGTATGTCATAGAAATGCAGTCACGATCATCTCAGAGTTAAGGTTGTGACCGTCGAACTAGTCCTGGAAAGGATTATAAGTACACAGAGAACTCTTAATGCAACTGTAGACTTGCTCCAAGGCTGTACTGAATGATTGGTTGGTTGTTTTACACCGCACTCAGTAATATTCCAGCTATATGGCGACGGTCTGTAAATAATTGAGTCTGGACCAGATAATCCAGTGATCAACAGCATGAGCATCGATCCTCGCAATTGGGATACGATGACATGTGTCAACCAAGTCAGCGAGCCTGACCACCCGATCCCGTTAGTCGCCTCTTACGACAAGCATGGGTTACTGAAGATCAATTCTAACCCATATCTTCACTGGTCGAACAATATGTGAAGAATACACAGCTACAGTCGTCACTTGGTTTAGTTTTTACAGAGGGAAAAGAATAATAATCTATACGTCGTTATAAATATAATATTAAGACATTAATGAATATAGTGTTAACATGGCGGATGGGCGCTTCCAGTGCAAATGATTTTCCCGTATTCTTCCTGGTTCTACCTGACTGATATTCTTAATGCCAGAGGTCAAATGTACTACACGTCCCACCCACTCAGCGACCACTGGGGCTGAGACGTGACGTGGAGACGGAGTCAAGCGCCGGGTAACGCACCCATCAATTATGCGTAAGTAATCAGGGTGACGGAAGTCCATTAATCGATTAAGGCGGAATATATTGAATGGAATAGCAGAGTCAAAATTGATAATGCTTTCACGTTAGTTTCTAGCCAACATGCACACAGTGGTAACGGTATGAAATACCAAAGCATTATCAGAATTGTCAAAAGATGTATGTAAAAGGTGGAAACATGGTGATACGATTTTGCATTTGAATAATCGATCTTGTAGATCGGGTGTATCGCGTGCATATTGATGTTGTGTAGTGGTTTCCATACAACTCATATTCAATGACGGATTATCCAGGATCGGATCTCTAGTTGTTAGGATGCTGTTAAGACTGCCGCCGACGGGAATAGATGTGATAGAACAATCAACCAAACAAAAAAACCGTTATTTCAAAAAGAATATATTTATGCTACAGACGAATTCTATTCTTCTGCAGCAAAACATATTTTGTGACAAGATTATTTCTTTTAATATTTAGTCTCATACATACAATTTTAAAATATCTAGTTCTGCGAATGTATCTGAAAAATATATAGCCTCTATACAGAAAGCAGTCGTGTGGTAAATCGTATGCTGAAATATTAAACAGAAGAGAAATGTTGATAACGAAGTGAAATGCAATAAAAATAAACGTATTCCACCCCATGTCCAGTTGTTGCTGAGGAAGACGTGCGGTTCACAGTTTGACCTGGTTACCAAGGTGAGTGATGCATTAGACTGTATGGCTATCATCATGCATATTAATGATACAGAAAGGCTTCATATAAGTATATGTAAACTGGTTAGAAATCATGCACAGTGTTGCTAAATGAGTTGCCCTACACACAGAAATGCTTCAACATAACAATTTGCAATGGCAAACACGTAGAAAGCCCCTAGTTTAGCCGAGACCTGCATTTGCAGGACCAGCCTGCGCGAAACACAGATTCAGTAACTTTTGTATACGAGGCCAAACGTTTTACCCTCAATACAAAGCATTGTATTAGTTATTTCTTGTACCCTTTTAACCTTTGGTGTGAAAAAGAATTTTTATTCCAGTATTCCGCATGGATTGGGTTTCGAATTAAACGCCTACAACGATCCGGGTTAGAACTGGTCTTCAGTAGCCCATGCTTCCCTAAGAGCCGACTAACGGGATCGGGTGGTCAGGCTCATGTCACATGTCATCGTTTCCCACCCAGTTGCGTAGATCGATGCCCATGATGTCGATCACTGGATTGTCTAGTCCAGACTGGATTATTTACCGACCTCCGCTATATAGCTGGAAAATTGCTGCGTGCGGCGTAAAATTAAACTCACTCACTCGAATCCCCAGAACATCTTCACCAATGCCCGTTACTAATCAAGCGCTCAATTGGGGTAACAGCGAATCGGGGGTTACAGAGTGCAATTGCTGAAGCTGTCAGTATATAATGGAGGGTAGTTCAGTGACATTCGGAAAAAACTGTATTTACCAAGTTCGATGTGACCTAAATACGATACAAATGAAATGTGCATGTCTGAGGGAGTATTCAGGGTTGTGTTTTAATTATCATATATTCCAATAAACATTTCTATGCTATATGTGTTGATTTATTCGTCACTTTTCATTTAAGCATTGAAAGAAGCGGAACGAAAATAGTGTTTTAACTTGATATCAGAACATATTATATATTAATAATATTTAATAAGAAATTGAAGCATACGTTTGCAACATGCCTTCTATAAACACACATGAAAACATATCTACATCCATGTAACCATATCATTTTTACAAAGATTAATAAATTGATTACAAAAAAAAATTGCAATCATATTTTGTATAGTTTTGTAACTGGTACAAATATATTCTGTTTTACCATCGTCAAAGGAGATTTGAGAAAAAAATAAAATTAAAAATGGTAATTATATTATAATTTGTCTGTAACAGTTTTGCCCGGGACATTTGATTAGACTAACACATTCCGATATGAATAGAAACAGGTAAGTCCAATCAATCACCTGTGGGGTGACTGATTGATGTGAAATGGGCCAGATTGCGGGTGTGACCTGGGCACGGTCCTGCTGAATGGCACACTAATGAAGGTCACGCAATATGAAAGTAATTAGGGTCTCTTCAATAGTTAACAGTCTGCGGGTGCGATGATCGAAAGTCGGTGCGTTATCGACCGGTATCGACTAACAGGAAGAAAAACCATGCTAATTAGTGGCGTAATGACATGCCTCAGTTGACAAGGAAGGGAAGGGGGTTGGGGGTGTATCTGTTCTTTTGGGAAAATTGTCAGTTTACCTATTCAGCACAATATCACTAGACCCCACAGAATAATTATAAAGATTAAATTAATTCTCTTCATTATGAATATAATCAAGGACAATCTTATTCGTCATTGTGATGAGTGAATTGGGTTTTGCGCCGCTTTTAGCAATATCCCAGCAATATCACGGCGGGGGACACCAGAAATAGGCTTCACACATTGTACCCATGTGGAGAATCCAACCCGGTCCTTCGGCGTGACGAGCGAACGATTTAACCACTAGGCTACCCCACCGCCAGCTATTATGATAGGGGCGCCATAGATTGTTCAAGTTGAAAATGGGGGGTGTATAGGTTCTTTCATTTGAGAATAGGGCGCGTGTTTGTTACGTTTGGGTTGCTTAAGTTGACAATGGGCGTATATGCTTGAGGTTGGGATATGTATTATTTGATAAAGGTGAGGATGGGGTGGGTATTGAGTGATAAAGGTGAGGATGGGGTGGGTATTGAGTGATAAAGGTGAGGATGGGGTGGGTATTGAGTGATAAAGGTGAGGATGGGGTGGGTATTGTTTGATAAAGGTGAGGATGGGGTGGGTATTGAGTGATAAAGGTGAGGATGGGGTGGGTATTGAGTGATAAAGGTGAGGATGGGGTGGGTATTGGGTGATAAAGGTGAGGATGGGGTGGGTATTGAGTGATAAAGGTGAGGATGGGGTGGGTATTGGATGATAAAGGTGAGGATGGGGTGGGTATTGAGTGATAAAGGTGAGGATGGGGTGGGTATTGGGTGATAAAGGTGAGGATGGGGTGGGTATTGGGTGATAAAGGTGAGGATGGGGTGGGTATTGGGTGATAAAGGTGAGGATGGGGTGGGTATTGGGTGATAAAGGTGAGGATGGGGTGGGTATTGGGTGATAAAGGTGAGGATGGGGTGGGTATTGGGTGATAAAGGTGAGGATGGGGTGGGTATTGGGTGATAAAGTTGAGGATGGGGTGGGTATTGGATGATAAAGGTGAGGATCGGGTGGGTATTGGGTGAGAAAGGTGAGAAGTTTCAAAGGGTCGCAATGGAAATCAAATGACGGCATTATTAAATAAATTCTGTACGAAAGCTTAATGCTACAATTATAGTTTTTTAATGACGGTCATATATTACAGGGATGCTAATGGTATCATCACCGTCATCAATATTGTTCTGGGTACTGTGGAGACCACAACGGTGGACTGACAGTATGACAGGGATACGCTTGACTGAATGCATCAAGGGAAATTGGCAGTTGACTCTGTAACCGGCAACAAGGGCCATCTGAGTTCACATGACATGTCCATATATGCATTCAGTCATTTTCGTTGTTCAAACACCTGACCGTGTACTTCAAAGTGACATTTATAGGTTTAAGATATCTGCACGTATTAGCGTGCTCTCGGAGTTCAGAGCACAGCTTAGAGTTTCCAACGTGCTGTAAATAGCTCACAACAGATACATACGTTTCCGCCATGAATTACATAATCCCTGTGGCGTTGTCCGTTGTGTGACTAGTATAGGACTATGGGAATTACGCTTTATTCATGCGGAAACGACACCTGCCCCACCATGTCCGTAACACTGTCGATATGTAAAACAATGGAACATCGTTGTGAAATATATATAGGTAGCAATCCGATGAACAATACTTTCGGTTTTATGCTATGTTCGTGGCAGGCTTTGTCAAATGTTTTATTAACGAGTCCTAATGTATATATAGTTTTACATACTAGAGAAAACACTTTACACTTGTATGTGGACCAAAGACCTTGGAACGGATCAATGTTCTTTGATTCTGAGGATCAATACTTGGTGCATGCCTCTCTGCGCGTACTTTACAGACGAGCGAGTCCAGTTCGTTATGCTCTGATAAATGTCCATTTGTTATTCTCATTTTTAGATAACAATAACGAACAATAACTCATCTTCCTATTTTCAGTGATACACTCAGTGTATGTGCAATATAATTATCGACAATATATTTACTTTTACGCCCAATAGAATCTGAATGAAGTAACTAACTGGGTACTGACTGAATATTCACTGATATTAATATTATTAATTTGTCTGTGAGTGAGGATTTTTTCCTAAGAGCGTCATCATTATACAATGCATTAGACACGAATTACAAAGTGAATATATTCATGCTTCCGCCTCACCTGTGGCCAAAACAAGGATAGCGCCCAATGTGTACATCTTCAGCGGATTCACGCCAGTAGTCCAGTATACGTCCAGCACAGTTGACAAGCAATATGTACACTACGCCAGTACGCGATTGCAAATGGTCATTTCAATTCATCTCAACCTTCCGTGTCCAGACGTGCATCTTATCCTAATATCCGCTCCTGGAAAACACTCCCGAGTTACGGTCCTAAACAATGTCTATTCACTAGTCACACGTGGGGCTGGCAGTCTTCTCTTTTTTCTCTCACTTCCGATTGGTCACACAGTGACTTCGACGCAAGCTATTGGTCAAAATCAATCGTCCTACCACGCATGAGCGACCGCGTGCCTTAGCAACAACACGTGTAAGCAAAGGTCTACCACTGACTGGCATAATGCACCATATGTACATTAATGATATCCCAGGGGTCGTGCAGTGAGCTTGTGTGTAACGCCCCACAGGGATGGGCCTAAATCGTGCTGTTATAACTTGCAGTGCGGTGGGTAAACTTATATTTATAGTTATCTCGTCAGTTTTCCCTCATTCCTTTAAAAAAAAATAATTCGTAAGCTGCATAACAACCTTACCACAATATCAGTTGTGAGATATGGAAAGGTTTGAAAAACACCATATTATGTCGTCCACACAACTTTCAGATCTCTTTGACTGATGTCCTCATTAGTCAAATTTTAAAGGTATTGAATGTGGCCCATTATAGGAATTAGTTCAGCATCTACGGTTACAAATATATTCCAATATTTTCCTGTCTAAATATATCCCATGATATAGGCCTACTGTATTCTCCTGGTGGTGTATTTGGTATTTCACTTGATCAAAACAACAACATGTCAGAGAAATGGATTGAAATGAGATGCTTCTTTGAACTTGATGTTTAAATGTCCTGAGACTATTGGCTATTCGCCTTCTGTATATAACATTGTACAACGACTATACCTCCTAATAGTCGAGGCCAAACTGACGCATTCTACAGATGTGCTTACTTAAGCCGTGTGGTTTGGTTTTGTTTTGTTGTTGTTTTACGCCGCACTCAGCAATATTCCAGCTATATGGCAGCGGTCTGTAAATAATCGAGTCTGGACCAGACAATCCAGTGATCAACAGCATGAGCATCGATCTGCACAATTGGGATACAGACAGATAGACAGCTATTTTATTTCAGTAACGAAGGCCATTGGCCCATAATACAACATAGTAAAAATATAGATAATACAGTCATGCTGGATGTAGGATATCGATTGAAATACAAGGTCAGTTGATTGTAAAGGCGGGTTTAATACAGTTGGGATACGATGACATGTGTCAACCAAGTCAGCGAGCCTGACCATCCGATCCCGTTAATCGCCTCTTACGACAAGCATGGGTTGCTGAAGATCAGTTCTAACCCGCATTTTCATGGGTCTAAGCAGTGGGGTAAAAGAAAGAAAGTATATAATCATTCCTGCAACAAAAAGTCATTTATGTCTGGGTAAGTTTGTGTGAAAAATCAGAGACCATATACCGGTATATGGTCTCTGGAAAAATGAAGCGGTTCCATTACGATTTGAGAAAGAACTGAATGTTCAACCAAATGGTCCTCACTAGTATGTCATACGCTTTATGGCTTTGTTTATGGCTTAAGTATACCGAGTCAACTGCTTAAGAAATGTTAGAGCAGAAACATTCAAACCGCCCAAACTGTGTTCCTTACTTATAACAAGCAACAATTTTACACAGCAGACGTAATTCAAAACTGACATGTCTTTTTCACTTACAGCAAAATCACTACAATGTTTTTTCGTATCACTGGCTTTTCTGGCCGCCACCAAATCTTATGTTTTATTTACACGCTCGTCGCCTGGCAAGGGTACAGCGGCATGGCGTCAGGCAAAGATCGAACACTTAATGTATATGAGTATATGCTTAAACACTTGATGTATTTACATAAAAATGCAAATTGTGCCAGTGCCTGGTAGAGCAAGACATGTTTGACCTTTGCACATATATCCGATGTCGTCCCTGATTTTCAGTGATCTATTCATGTCATTTTCACTCTTGAAGATCCGGGTTAGAATTGATCTTCGGCAACCACTGCTTGTCGTAAGAGGCGACTATAACGGGATCGGGTGGTCAGGCTCGCTGACTTGGCTGACACATGTCATCGCATCCCACTTGGGTAGATCGATGCTCATGCTGTTGATCACTGGATTGTCTGGTCCAGACTTTATTTATTTACCAACCGCCGCCATACATCTGGAATATTGCTTAGTGTGGCGTAAAACTAAACTCACTCACTGTTTCGGTGAATAATAGAGACTGGTTATTCTCTGGCGTTGCTTTTTTACATTTATGATCTGAGTACAATCTCTATAGGCTTAGTCATGTTGTCAAATAAGAAAACATTACTTTGTTCAAGGGTCTCCAGGCTCTGGAAAGCTGGCTGTGGTCCATGTGTTTGAATATATCCATCAAGTAACTCAAAGCCAAGTACCGTATTTCCTCTAATAAGCGCCGGAGTATCTGATAAGCGCCGGGGGTAAAGCAATGGATTAAGAAATAAGCGCTGGGTCTCTAATAAGCGCAGGGTACTTTGTTATATATGTATTCTCCCTTGACCCTAAAACAGATTTATCAAGTTATGGCCCCTTAGGGACGTAACGCTCTCTAACAATTAATTACGGTACAACCAGTAAGCGCAATAAGCGCCGGGTCTGGACGTCCGTTGAAAAGAAAAGCGCACGGGCACTTATTCTAGGAAATACCCTGCGGTGTTTCAGTTGAAATTCGAAGTTACAGCTCATAGGAACTCCCAAGGGGAATCTGGAAATTGTAACTTTTATGCATGGTTCACTGCATCTAGAACATGTGCTGAACTTGTAAATTAGTGAAAGTATGTCTGTTGAGCTGTTGAATCTGGGATATTCTTTCAAAAGCAACATGTGAAAAAGTTTGCAATAATGCGATGATACTGATTCACACTACAAACTACAAAATACTTGCTTGTGTGAGAACAGACAGTCAAAAGTGAAAACAAACCCGATTCCTCTTTGGGTCTTAAGGATGCCAGACCAGTGAACACGCGGCTTGGAACTGGTCTTCAGTAACCCATGCTTGTCGTAAGAGATGACTGACGGGATCGGGTGGTCAGGCTCGCTGACTTGGTTGACACATGTTATTGTATCCCAGTTGTGTAGATCGATGCTCATGCTGTTGATCACTGGATTGTCTGATCCAGACTCGATTATTTACAGACCGCCGCCATATAGCTGGAATATTGCTGAGGTCGGCGTTAAACAACAAACAATCAAAGAAAGAATGCTATGGGTGCGCAGTCAAATGAGAACAATTCCATGCTGGAATGCGTCACGGAATCAATAGCGCGGGACCACATGCATGGCACGGTGTTCATTTATGCAACAAGTAAGGTTCTGTGCCCACTGACACTAGATTATGGATTTCAGAGTCTTCCGTGACTGACGGGGATTGATTGTATACATTGTTAGGTGTTGATTCCCAAGGTGAAACTTAAAGGTAGTAGTAAAAGAACTGTAAAAGTCTGTACAAGAACAAAGGTGCAACTAAAGCTGCACTACTACCGGGAATTCCCATATTTATTTCCCCATGAGAAGCATTCACTGTACATCATAACGCAGCAATTATAGATAAACAAAAACAAACCTTATGCAAACTCAGACATAATGACAACCCGTTTAGGATATCCCCGACGGAGTAGTAATCAATGAAAAGTGTTCAGTCGATTTCTATGAGCTTTGATTCTAATCCAGTATTCGCTTCAGGCTTCTTTGAGTTGCATTATAGAAGTGTGGAAGTTCACTAGTGACAATATTTTGGATAACAACTTCTTTTATTTTGTGAGTGCGAAATTCGGAACAGATAGTTGTTCTCCATAAATATACTACCCATCAAAAGTTTAGACTCACCTCAAGCACTCACTATATGTTATGTATATATATATGGTTACATCGAAGATGAATTTCTCCACTAACTTGGGGGAACCAACTGCAAACCTTATGCAGATGAATTGCACGAGGATCATGCATCAAATTGCTGAAAAGCATGTGCAAATATCGTTCATGTGGACAGCTGCGTTGTGGTGTAAAGTTTTGTGAAGAATTCGCCAATTTTCACTGATTTTCAGCATTTACTGAACTCATGACAATAATCTTTTCAACGTTACGAATTTGTTTTACAATACATCAGCTCGTGTGTAAACAGTACCTTTAAACTGAATGGAATATTTTGCAAAATTTTGTTTAGAACAGTTGCCTGAAGTAAGTGGCTATATTTACACTAGTGTGTCTAAACTTTTGATAGGTAGTATATGTCATCGTGCTTGAAGCGTTCACAGGGGAACACGTCCACGGCCTGTATCGGACTTTATTCCCACACTACTGAAAAGTATGGAATCCTAGAAGGGACAGTTTCGCGTTGTTAGGTTGTCGTCCTTACAAAAACAAGGCAAAAGTGTCAAAATTAACCAAAGTGCGACACATGTTCCAAATGTCGCGCGCGTTGTCGCATGGTCGTTCTTTGGTTAATTTTGACACATTATGCTTGTTTTTGTAAGGGCGACAACACGACATGTCCCTTCTAGGATTCCATAGAAAAGGGACAAATTGATGGTTTTCGTTCCTACTTTTTCCGGTAGACATGACTGTTATGATTTGCGCACGATTTCTGACAGGGAGCTAGGCTGTGCGTTAATTGTCAATTAGTAACGGTAAAACGTCAAAAGAAGACTCGATTATCCACCGACAGAGACGCCATTGGGCGTGTAAGGCGAAATAGCGCACAATGGAATCTATTCGGCGGATATTCCTTTTTGCTGCTCAGGACCAGTCACTTCCCACTCGCAATCGCCAAAATGGGATCCTTAAAGAAAATATTTGCATGAAATGTCGATTATGCAATGAATTTACAGAGACTGTCCAACACCTTGGATGCCCTTCCTTGGCACAAACAGCATAATTATCTTAAAGACATGATGGCATGGCTCACTGCTTTTACTACCGTCTCCGTCATGCCTGTGGCTTTGACTCCGAGGTCCATCCATGGTACGACCTTGAACATGTCCAGGGCGTCATGGAAAATGCTGCTTTCAAACTTCTGTGGAATAGGCCCATGTACAGCCTTAGAAGAATTCCAGCCGACACACCTGATCTTGTCCTTTTTGATAAAGTCAATGAATACATTTTTATCATTGAATTTTCTGTCCCTTTTGAGA